CTTTGACAATAACCTAATTTTGGTGTGAAAAAAAAAGAAATGAAAAAAAATGTTTGGTTAAAAAAAAAAATCAAGAAAATATCAACATGTCATCAAAACTATAATCCAAATTTAAATTCAATAAAACTTGGGCAAAATATGAACAAAAGAAAGATTTACTCGAAGACTCCTGGAAGATGTCTTACTTAGCTGTGTTTTGAATGGAGACAACGGTAGTATTCTGTTGAATATTTCATGTGTTTAGTACGCGGTATATGTTACACAAATCAATGCAATACACTAACATCAAAAAGAGATATTATCAAAACTAGATTCCATCACTGTTGACATAATGAAATTAATATTTCATGACTAAAGTGGAATCTCTAGAAAAAGGTTTTATAAACTTGAGGGTGTATGCTATATTTAACAATATATGTATGGTCCTGTGTTAGAATTACCTCCCTTTTTCTTTTTTTCTATTTTTCATTCCTACTTTTACCTGTAGGTACTTTAATATTGATTAATGAAATGTTTATTAATTTATCTGTTTATTAATAACATGATTTTAGTTTATCATGTTTAATGGATAATTCTGTTGGTTTTTCTTTGTGGAAATCTTTTTTAAATGAGAATTGTAACAAAATGGAAGTCGCATATAGCCTTAATGTGGCTTTTAATCTGACTGTCCAGTCATTTAAAAATTAAGTCTTTATGAACTAAGGGACATAAGTATTGGTTACTTATTCTTAAGTATTGATTTTGACTACAGATATGAACTAATGAATGTTGCTATTGAGAATTATGATAAAACACCAGAAAATGGAAATCATACACAAAAAAAATGTCCAGATGAGATGTTAACAGATCTGTTTATACTTATCTTACACTTTCAGTATTTTTGGTAGAAACATTAGACAGAAATATTCATGATTAACATGTCTAGATGGTTATCAGCTAGTTCCATATGGATTCCTTTACCAGCTCTCCTAAACTTTGATTGCATTCAGCTGTAGAGCATTATTTATGATAAATTACTAGGTATATGATTATGGAATACGTTTGTCTCTATCACTGACCAAAAATCAATATATTAAGATAGGTCATAGTGCATGTAATGTCTGCATTTCTCTCACCCACTTCCTCCTCCTTCCTCTACCCCTCTCCCCCTCCCTGTGACATATTGGATGGTCAGTTATCCTTTCCTCTCTCAACACATGGCACTCACTTTAACTACAGCAGGAGGTTGGCCATAAATGACCTATCATGTAGACAGTTAATATTTATAAAAAAACAAACCAAACCTCCCTTGTCATCCAACCTCAATTTTTACCCATCCTTAATGCCAATTTCACATGACACTGTAACAATGTACATGTAGTTGCAAGAATGTGATTTAAACTAAGTTTTGCCTCCCAGTAATTACTGTACCATAATTACTTACATGTGTAACATACCAATACAATTTACCTGTATTTTTTTACCTGTATAATTTTCCATGCCTACCAGATCTATTTACTTATGTTTATTATATATATATTGATTACTAAATGATCCTTTACTAATTAAAGCATTTTTGCCCTGCAGCATCGTACTATAGTCAATGACTTCTGTAACATCCAATGATTCGCTTACATCCTTAACAACATAAACAACACGCTTGGTGTATCTATCATGTCATTAAATTTCCTTCATAAAAATAACAAAAGTCACTTGTCATGTGTGATGTGTGGCGAGTGCTAACCTGTGGGTTTTTCCAGAAACTCGTTATGACTGTAACTGTTCTAATCAATACGTATGTACTATCGTTGATTTACAGGTAGCTGTTTTCACTTCGCTTGACAGAACACCGTTCAGCCATAATTAATGTTTCCATGCCTCACATTAGACATAATTCGTGTTGCAGGATGCACAGTTTTGTTACGTAAAAAGGGGCTGCAGTGGCCATGTGGTTAAGGCCTCTGAGTGCCTTTATCACTAGCCCTCCACCTCAGGGGTTTAAGGCCATTGCGGGGCAGTTGCCACATGGCCACAAGTTGGCGGTTTTTCTTCAGGAACTCCAGCCAAATGTGATACATCCTTAAATGGTCCTGGATGTTGATAGGATGTTACACAACAATGAAACCAAACAAAATCTAAAATATGACAAAGAAACAGTTTTCTGAAATATATGATTGGCTTTAGTTGGTCTTAATCTGATCAGTCTTCAAAAAAATTAAAACGACATCTGTTATAGCAAACAAGATGTTAACATAGTATTGAATATTATCAAAATTTACTTAAACTGTACCAGGCAATACAGAACAAATACTTGTATGGAGACTAAGGGAGGATAACTCTGACAAATGTCACCAATCTGCCTTAAGTCTTTCATAATTTTTTTCTTATACATATTTCCGTGACATGCACATTCTTGTGCAAAAATTTACAATGTAGAAAGAGATGGATAATAAATAAGTTAATTAAATTCAGACACTTCATCTTGATTAAAAGTCTACATCAGTGATTACCGTATACTGTTTTGATGAAATGTCATCAAGTACTTCAGTTTTGTAATTTCCACCCAATGTTCCTGCAACTGCTGCGGTAATTAGTACAAAAACATCACGTATCATAATACAAGTCATTCAATCATTAATTAAAAAAAAAGAATGATCAAAGTTTATCCTCACTTCCTCAAAGATTCTTTGAAAGTTGTCCAGATTTAAGGCTGCACAGGATCAACTTAGATTAACAAACTACATTGGTTCTTTTAAGAAATCTTTGCAATGACTGAGTAAGTGTAGAATGTCTTTAAACTGTTGCCCATTCAATTCATCTTCTTTAAACAATTCTTTAATTATTTTTCGGAACCTTGTAGTGTAGTACATTGTTCACAGATGCAAAGTATCCTTTATTGGATGGGATTGGTTCTAATGGTGAGCTATTTTGTGTTTCTATCGTGGTGATAGATAAAATTACTTACTAATTAAGTGAGTGGAATGTTGTGCTAGGAATATCCTCCACTCATTGAAAACTGAGTTATTTCTACCTCCTCCCCAGAATATCCTCCACTCACTGAAAACAGAGATATTTCTACCTCCTCCCCAGAATATCCTCCAATCACTGAAAACAGAGTTATTTCTACCTCCTCCCCAGAATATCCTCCTCTCACTGAAAACAGAGTTATTTCTACCTCCTCCCCAGAATATCTCTACTCACTGAAAACAGAGTTATTTCTACCTCCTCCCCAGAATATCTCTACTCACTGAAAACAGAGTTATTTCTACCTCCTCCCCAGAATATCTCTACTCACTGAAAACAGAGTTATTTCTACCTCCTCCCCAGAATATCCTCCTCTTACTGAAAACAGTTATTTCTACCTCCTCCCCAGAATATCTCTACTCACTGAAAACTGAGTTATTTCTACCTCCTCCCCAGAATATCCTCCTCTTACTGAAAACAGAGTTATTTCTACCTCCTCCCCAGAATATCCTCCTCTCACTGAAAACAGAGTTATTTCTACCTCCTCCCCAGAATATCCTCCACTCACTGAAAACAGAGTTATTTCTACCTCCTCCCCAGAATATCTCTACTCACTGAAAACAGAGTTATTTCTACCTCCTCCCCAGAATATCCTCCACTCACTGAAAACAGAGTTATTTCTACCTCCTCCCCAGAATATCTCTACTCACTGAAAACAGAATTATTTCTACCTCCTCCCCAGAATATCCTCCACTCACTGAAAACAGAGTTATTTCTACCTCCTCCCCAGAATATCCTCCACTCACTGAAAACAGTTATTTCTACCTCCTCCCCAGAATATCCTCCACTCACTGAAAACAGAGTTATTTCTACCTCCTCCCCAGAATATCCTCCACTCACTGAAAACAGAGTTATTTCTACCTCCTCCCCAGAATATCTCTACTCATTGAAAACAGAGTTATTTCTACCTCCTCCCCAGAATATCCTCCACTCACTGAAAACAGAGTTATTTCTACCTCCTCCCCAGAATATCTCTACTCATTGAAAACAGAGTTATTTCAACCTCCTCCCCAGAATATCCTCCACTCACTGAAAACAGAGTTATTTCTACCTCCTCACCAGAATATCCTCCACTCACTGAAAACAGAGTTATTTCTCCCTCCTCCCCAGAATATCCTCCACTCACTGAAAACAGAGTTATTTCTACCTCCTCCCCAGAATATCTCTACTCACTGAAAACAGAGTTATTTCTACCTCCTCCCCAGAATATCCTCCACTCACTGAATACAGAGTTATTTCTACCTCCTCCCCAGAATATCTCTACTCACTGAAAACAGAGTTATTTCTACCTCCTCCCCAGAATATCCTCCACTCACTGAAAACAGAGTTATTTCTACCTCCTCCCCAGAATATCCTCCACTCACTGAAAACAGAGTTATTTCTACCTCCTCCCCAGAATATCCTCCACTCACTGAAAACAGAGTTATTTCTACCTCCTCACCAGAATATTCATTTGAGTACGACTTTTTCACAAGGTAGGGAAAGTTTATAAGATACACAGAAATGTATTGCAAAGTAAAGCAAATGAGATAGGTAGCTATGAAGTGGACATATTTTTTTCAGCATACCCTATAATTAATTCTTGACAATTTTCAAACAAAGTTAGAGTCAAGTTCCTTCCCTATATATCGTATGTAAAACTGGTTTAAAAATTCAAAGATCTTCTACTAGACCTACCCTGTACCCAAGTTCTTTGCTGGCATGCTAGTGGAAACATGTAGTGTTTTTAGGCCTATAATTAGTGTATCTGAAATCAAATGTCTGTTCTTTCTTCCAAGCCAGATAGATGTAAACTGTCAAAATTTGAAGCTAAAAAATCAATTTGCTATTAAAATGAGTTCTAGTTACAGTTTTGAAAATACAGAAATGACATTTTGCAAAAAATATATACAGATCTTATTTGATAGGAATTATTAATGTACCATAAAATTCTGGCTGTCAGAGTGTGGAAATAACTGAAGTAATAACCTTATTTGGTATTTAATTTTCAGTAAACGATGCAGGCACCATGTACAAACTCCGAAGCAGTGAAGCGATGCATGACTTTTCCAAACAAACCACTGTCCAGTCAGATGCGCTATGTTGAACCACGACCACCTTATGCTGCTGGAAATAATGTGGTCAAGCGTGACAGACCCTACTCAGGTTTGTATCCAGATTGTTAGGTACATTTCATCATTCTTGGTATTGTGGGTATTTTGTTGAATAAATAGTTAAAGGTAGACATTATGTGGTTTGTTTACATAGTCTATTTTGCTATAGTTAAACCTGTCTGTAAAGTCTAATCAAGGGAGCAGAGAAAAGTGGCCTTTATACACAGGTGGTCTGTATAGACAAGTAGTCATTATATTGAAGTCCAAATATTGTGATTTATGTGACTTTGGGCCTGAAATCAGTGGCCTTTATAGACAGGTGACCATTATACAGAAGTTCAATGATTATAGTTTAAATGGCATTTGGGCCTGAAACCAGTGGCCTTTATAGACAGGTGACCATTATACAGAAGTTCAATTGTTATGACTTACCTGTATGTGACATTTGGGCCTGAAACCAGTGGCCTGAATAGACATGTGTTTGTTTTATGCAGGTAACTTTTAAGGCAAACCAAAAACTGTTGTCGCTAATTTATGTAAGTGATATCACAGTTTTGGAAATTGATTTTTTGATATCACAATATATTCCATACAGGACATCAATCACTCTGATAGCTGTTTTTTTTCCTTGCTTCATCTTCAGTGCAAAGGGAAGATGCTGTAATTTGAAAAATTTTAATTTGTCATATCACTTTGTTGGGTGTGTGATATCATTGATAATCATATGTAGAGTTAATAAAAAAAAAATACAAGCCATCCCATAATGCTTTGGATTTAATTATCTAACCAGATTTTGTTGTTATAAGTTTATGTACAATATCATTACATTTTGTGTGATAAATATGTCAAACTTCATCATGTAATAATAAAGCTTCTCCCCTATATAGCCACAGTATTGCTAGGACTCATACAAACGTGATACTCGGACTGTAAAATCTAATCAACCGTAACGCATACGAGATTCAGAAAACTTTTACTACATTTTTAAATCTTTGGAAAATCATCGCCATTTATGGTAAGGTGTAAAGTAATAAAGTGGGACTTTAATCCACACACGCACTGAGTGTTGATGTGTGTTAAGAATGCCTTGCACCTTTTCAGAATCACAACAAAGATGCTACATAAACTGTCAGCGGGCACAGCTTAACAATACCTGCTGTATATATACATAATAACATTAAAAGGATGAATTTGATATATAAGTAAGTTCAGTAGGCAGGTGCGATAAGATAGGTAGGTGTTCATAGTAACAACACATGTGAGATATGTTTGACAGGAGGGTATTTTTAATATGACAGGTGAGACGTTGGACAGGTAGGGTTTTGTGAAAAGACAGGTGTATCATATTTGACAAGGGAAGGTTTGTGATTAGACAGATAAGATATATTGAACAGGTAGATTTTTGTAATAAGACAGGTAAGATATATTGAACAGGTAGGGTTTTGTGATAAGACAGGTGAGATATATTGAACAGGTAGAGTTTTGGGATAAGACAGGTGATATATATTGAGCAGGTAGATTTTTGTAATAAGACAGGTGAGATATATTGAACAGGTAGGGTTTTGGGATAAGACAGGTGATATATATTGAACAGGTAGATTTTTGTAATAAGACAGGTGATATATATTGAACAGGTAGTTTTTTGTGATAAGACAGGTGAGATATATTGAACAGGTAGGGGTTTGTAATAAGACAGGTGAGATATATTGAACAGGTAGAGTTTTGTGATAAGACAGGTGAGATATATTGAACAGGTTGAGTTTTGGGATAAGACAGGTGATATATATTGAACAGGTAGATTTTTGTAATAAGACAGGTGATATATATTGAACAGGTAGGGTTTTGTGATAAGACAGGTGAGATATATTGAACAGGTAGGGGTTTGTAATAAGACAGGTGAGATATATTGAACAGGTAGAGTTTTGTGATAAGACAGGTGAGATATATTGAACAGGTTGAGTTTTGGGATAAGACAGGTGATATATATTGAGCAGGTAGATTTTTGTAATAAGACAGGTGAGATATATTGAACAGGTAGGGTTTTGGGATAAGACAGGTGATATATATTGAACAGGTAGATTTTTGTAATAAGACAGGTGATATATATTGAACAGGTAGGGTTTTGTGATAAGACAGGTGAGATATATTGAACAGGTAGAGTTTTGTGATAAGACAGGTGATATATATTGAACAGGTAGAGTTTTGGGATAAGACAGGTGATATGTGTTTGAGCAGGTAGGGATTTGTAATAAGACAGGTGAAACATACCATTTTGGGAGATGGGGCTTTGTAATACATGTAAAACCTATATCACCATTTTTCCGTTGAAGCCTCTGTATAGAATCCAGCCAGCGGTATGTATATGTCTCCATGGCGACATACTGCTACAACAAAGGGTAATATTCACGATGTTCAGCAATTTTTATAACTGATGACTGAAATGAATTTACCTCATTGATATTGTTACAGATCAATAGAGTTTTGTATGCTACCTCGGTCCACAATATTATACTGGCAATACCAGGTCTCTCGTTTGTAACGCAACACTCCATATTTATACAGACCTAACCATCCATAAGTATTTTGGCCTTTTTTAAGCATCTGCATTAAAAATAACTTGGAACATTTGTTTTACATATTGTAACTCTTTTCAGTCTGTAATTAAAAAAATAACGACAGATATACAGGTATCTTGATGTCTTTATCTGTCTTCTACAGTACAACGTTGCGCTCTTAGTGAAGAATATTACATGTCAGCACAAAGTCTCATTAAGTATTAATGATAGTGAGTGTAAGCAGACATCACCGGGGGAAAAACAGGTAGATCAACAGCGATACTGACATCTTCAGCCTCGCTAGGAACATATTGAATATTGAATGCTGCAAAACATTCTGATACAATCTGATAATTGTATTGAATTTATAAAACAGCATGGATTTTTTTTAGAAGCTTGTGTTGGAACGTCAGCAAATGTTCCAGTAGTACAAAGAGAATATGAAAAGACTACATTTTTTTTTCATGCATTTGAATTTTCATTACTAAATCATTTTTTTGTATTTTTCGGCCTGTAGTTTTCTGTTAAAGGAAAATCATTCATTTGCCTTTTGAATGAGTGTTATTTTTCAGGGAATGCTTATTGAAATATTTCTTGGTGTTAGCACTTATGATAGATAGATGACATTGGTTTTCAGCAAAACATCACCATATTGTGTTAATATCACCATATTATGTTAATACATCACCATATTGTGTTAATACATCACCGTATTGTGTTAATACATCACCTTGTTGTTTTAATACATCACCATATCATGTTAATACATCACCATATTGTGTTAATACATCACCGTATTGTGTTAATACATCACCATGTTGTTTTAATACATCACCATATTGTGTTAATACATAACAATATCGTGTTAATATATCACCGTACTGTGTAAATACATCACCATATCATGTTAATACATCACCATATCATGTTAATACATCACCATATCATGTTAATACATCACCATATTGTGTAAATACATCACCATATTGTGTAAATACATCACCATATTGTGTAAATACATCACCATATTGTTTTAATACATCACCATATTGTGTTAATACATCACCATATTGTGTTAATACATCACCATATTGTGTTAATACATCACCATATCATGTTAATACATCACTGTATTGTGTAAATACATCACCATATTGTGTAAATACATCACCATATCATGTTATTACATCACCATATCATGTTAATACATCACCATATTGTGTAAATACATCACCATATTGTGTAAATACATCACCATATCATGTTAATACATCACCATATCATGTTAATACATCACCATATTGTGTTAATACATCACCATATCATGTTAATACATCACCATATTGTGTAAATACATCACCATATCGTGTTAATACATCACCATATCATGTTAATACAATAGTCTTTGAAATATGCACAATTTTTATTCAGCATTGAATTGCTATCAGGTGGCATTCATGGGCAATATGAATCCCAATTGGATACAGGCCAATTTTTTGAAATGGGATAGTACTTCTTTTTGTTTTTATTTTAGTTAGAGGTATAAGAACCTATATCTATATTCATTTAACACATAATGGCAAGGTAACAGATGAAACCCTTGAATTTGAAACTAGAATGCCAGGTGTCACACTCGTAAATTGTGTTTATAAAGACAAGGTAAAACATTACAACCATTGAATTATGAAGTAGACCTGTTCTGTGCCACTGTATAACTTTAAAACCTATAAATAAATCACATATTTGTAATGTTTTATCCTTCTGTACATATTTTCTGTGTAACGAAGTTGAAACACACTACTACAAGAAACTTATCAGAAATACCTGAAAGTGGCCTGAGCTAGTCAGATCCCGTGTGTAAAACTTACCACAGAAACAGAACATCATGTTTAGTCATAAAGCATCAAGGATTGGTTAATTATCTTATGTAACAGTACTGGTGCATTGTGATAATGGCAGGTACAAAGATCACAGGTAGATACGTAGGTGCTCGTTAGCACTGACCTATAAATTATAAATGATTATTATCACAGGATGTATGTATTTTTGTGTTGAGTGTAAATTATTGATTGAAGGGCAGCCCACTTGAGACTTCAATGTGTAAAGTATCAAGAAAACATACTAGTGGTCTACAACCATATCCAAGGTGTGAAGCTGAGGACTAAGAAAACCTCAATATCAGTTAAAAAAAAAACCAGGAGTGTGATTCGATCCCTTCCTAGGTCAGTTTGTCTTTCTGAGGTGAAGATCCAAAGTTTTGTGGTTCAATCCCTTCCTGTATCAGTTTGTGTTTCTCAGGTGAAGATCTGAGTTGTGTGATACGATCCCTACCTGGGCCAGTTTGTCTTTCTCATGAAGCCAACATCTCAGACAGTCCTGTGCTGTCCATGGGCAAAACACTACCTTAACTTTTCAGAATTGTATATGGCAGAACTTTTGCATGATGTTCATTGAGGTAGCAACCAGCTGTTATAAGCATATCGTTTTTGGGGGACTCACTTGTGATTGTACTGTTAGGTTACTACATAAGAACTAATGATTTCACAAAAATGAAGAAGATTTTTTTTTGTTTTTTTTGTGGATAAATAGCTGTAAGGATTAAAAAAATGTATTTTTCCCACATTCAAGACAAAAGAATCAGATATATTCAGGTATTCAACTAACTTTGTTATAGAATCACAATTCTAGGAATCAGTGTTTTTTTTCTGTCCTGTTGAAGATAATTAAAAACAAAAGCATAAAGACGCTCATGTTGTTCTCTGTCTTTCAGCTCCAATGCGACGCATCACAAATACCAACAGTCACGCAGACCCATGGCGTGGTCCAAAATACGAGCGAGCGCCATCCCGACCAAGTTACAGTGTCAAACTTCATCATCATACATGGGATACGGAGTTCAGTTCGCGGGCTCCATACGCACGTATGTAGTACTCACACTGACAATAAACATATGCTCATTGGTTATCTCCCTTTATTAACAGTTGCGATATCGTTTTTTCTGTCCTTGTAATGTTGATCCCATAAACTCACTTTTTCTATTTGATCCAATAAATTTTACTCAGGAAAGGTTCTGTTGTTTTTCTAATGTTGAGGCAATAGGTACGAAGTAAATGTGCATTATTGCTCATTAAAGTATACCCTGACTGTTTTGCTATATTTAACGATTAAATATTTCATATTTCAAAAAAAAACCCCAAGAAATTGTGATTTTTGTGATTCGTTTCATTTCTGAGATATTGTGATTTATCAGAAATGCACTCCATTGACTCGGCAATTATCACCTCGATGTGGGTAGTCCACAAGTTCAATGCTGTCAAAACAGCTCTGTAGAAATATACCAGAAAGTTGCATTGCGTGCTTGATATGTGAGGTTTTTAGCTACTTAAATGATATACTCTACAGACATTTAAATATGTAGGTTATATCTAAAGTACCACATACATAAAGAAGCTATGAAATGATTTCTTTTAAGGTAGATGTAATATATGTGAGTGTATTAACACATATGGATGCTGTTTTATTAAATTGGTGTTTTCATAATTCCTGAATTCTACAGAGTCATCTTTATACCAATTAAAGTAAAATTTTATAAAAAATTTCACGACTTTGAATGTTGCATTCGATATAGATACAATTTTGTTTAAAATCTTCATCTTAACACAGATCTGTAAATTCAAGTATCTTAAGACATGTACAGTCCTTCATTAAGTTTTGTGACATATTTTTATTTAAAAAGTAACGATTCTTGTTGATACACATCATATGTCCATGATAATTGTTTCTCATATGTAAATGTATTCTTGGAGGAGTTGTTGTAAATTCTGCATCATCCTTTGTTCTAAGATTGACAATAAATATGCTGAAATTGATCATCGTCTGAAAATTCTGGCAAATTTCAAGGGTCGGTTTACAGTCTACATAATGTTACCATCAGAAGTATCTATTGGCGATCTGACGTTACATATTATATCTGTTCTCAACCTCACATATTTCCTTCATGGCGACTGTGACCAGCTATTGAACTTGTGACATTACAGCTGATAGGGTCCCATTCATTGTGTGTTACAAATATGCTGCGATTAGCAGTAGAAGGACAGGTGAAAATCGTAAATTTTACCTGTCAATATCTCAGTATTGGGCACGACAATTTTTGATGCGGTTCTCCACTTTCTTGATTTTGGATCATAACAAATGTCCGGTATATTTATTTCTGTTTTCACTTGAGGTACACTTTTAGTAAATTACTGTTACATGAAACATGGAAGAAATCATTTCTTGAACGAAAAATGTTCTTTTCAATTCCCTTGAGTGAAAATTGAAAAAATAAGCCAAACTTATCAAATTCTACTGTGTAATATTGCATACATTTCTTGTGTTTACAGCTCGGAGAAAAGATGTGTACAGCAACTCAATGTATGACCCTGTAGACAGAGGGGGTAAGACACCCCCCTTCCCGCCATATGACCCCCTTAATGACCCCCACCTTACAGAATACTTCGATAGACGCTTTGGTCTCATACAGGCAGCTTCAGCAGTGGTAAGTGTCAGGATGACCAGTATTAAAGGCCCATGTAAGGGGATAGCTTGTGAGTACAACTATAAGTATGATGTACATGAAGAATAGTTTGATCTGATCTTAGGAGCGAAAAAAAAAAAAATTGGAAAAAAGTTTGCTCAATATTGCGGTAAATTATCTCCCCCTTATTTGAAATCACCAATCAGAAATATCTTAGGATTCAAAATGGTTATTCCATAGAACATGCAGGGTCAGTTTAGTGTGATAAGTGGGTGCAAGAAGAAATATATATATTTCATGATGAACTTTATATTCCCACCAATTTTTGATACTGGGATGGGGGAGGGAGGGCATACTGTGTTACTCCTGTATCTCCTGTTGTGCTTGTCATATTCCGAATCAGTTGTATTATGTTGGGAATCTCTCTTCAGATTTGGTTCATATCTACCATCACTGTATCGTGACATCAAATTCTACAACTTTTCACGTTCTGTGGTGTAAAGCAGCATTGACATTCCTGTCTTGTCGACATTTTCTCTTTGTATTGCATGTCATCCCAATTATTGCACAAGCTAAGTGTAGTGTGTTATGATCATTTCAAAGAATAAAGTTTGGTGTCTTAAATTTGTCATAAACTGTCTTCATTACACATCAATGTATCTTTTTCATTTCTTACATCGTATTTGATGTTTTTGATTCAAATGTTCTGTTGTGATTTCTCGTACAGAAACGAGGCTGGGGGTCACGACCTTCCAGTGCCAGTAGTTCCATGTATGGAGGTGCTAAAAGATTCAAGAAATCAAGTGTTATTGGAAGTTCGTCTGGAGAAAAATCAGCACTGTACAAGGTGGCTGTTGTCACAGGGGACCTAAAGAATGCAAGCACAGATGCCAAAGTAAGACTCTACCCTTCTTTAGTTTGAATTTTAATTTTAGTAGAGTGATTTTAAAAGGGTATATCACTATATTTATCAATTCTAATTAAATAAGCTAATCCATGTTTTTATATTTACCAGGTTTTCATCACTCTAAAAGGTCTGAAAGGCAAAATAGCAAAAACAAGACTTACCAAGAAAGCTGGCTCCGTCAAATCCAACAAAGACGTTGCCTTCCGATTCTCCCGGGACAGTACTCACATATTCAAAATCCGAGGACCAAATATAGGCAACCTGAAATCCGTGGTTATTGAGGTGAGCATGCTTTCCTTATGATGTAGAAAGCGTATTTCTAACAACAATTTTGTACTTTTTATTTTATTGTAATTTTGATAGAATTTTGTTTGACAGTGAAATTTGTTCCCCATTAAATTTGTTCTGGGATAAAATCTCTGATCAAGAAATATTTTATCAGTGTAAATCTTTGGCGATACTCCATTCATGCTCCCTTCAATTTCATCGGGATGGGACATGTAATGTTACCAATATCCATCTTTCCCACGCTGTCTCATGTCTACTCAAATGTGTAAAGACATCAGGTTTTATGCTGTATCATATCCAGACATTCAAAACATTATGTTAGTAGTAAGCTTAACGTTTTACATTCCAAATAATTTATATATTTATAATTTTGTTAAATTATGGAATGAAATATTTTTTAAACTAAGGTGGTCTTTGGTCAAGGTCAAAGGTCACATTCAACAACTTCTGCCAATTTATCAAAATGATATGCCTGGGAGTGTTGGCATTCAATCAAATGTCTTACAGAAATTTTCTAGTTTGAAAAAGTATGTCCAATAGTGTCGTGTTTTTGATGTCATAAAAAGAAAGAGGCATGCGATTGTACAAGCACTGTGCACTCTCCATCACACCTACAAAGTCATGAAGGAATAAAAATGAGATATGAATCTTCAGAAAGATTATCTTTTAGTATATCAGAAATCACATTTCAATGCATCTCTGTTTTCACTTCAAAGAATGTGTCCATTTGTCTCATAAATAGCACAATGGTACAAAAAAGGAGGATGCCTGGTTCCTTCGGGAAATCGAAGTTGTCCACGTAAAGACGAAGAAAAGTTGGGTGTTTGTGTGTAACCAGTGGTTGTCTCTTGTTCATGGTGATCAACAGACGCAGCGTGAGCTGTTCCCTCGCATGTCACCGAAAACCAGTAAGTTTTTCACGGGAAACAAACATTGTAGAGATTACAGCTGTACATACAATGGAACCTCATTATCTCAAACTCTTTTAACTCAAAGACCCCCTTTGATTCAAAGACTTCAATATGTCGCGGCCAAACATTTTCACTAAACATTCAATCTCACTAGTTTTTCCAACCATCCCACTGACTGCGAAATAACGAAATTTGACTGAAGGTTATCATGATACAACTTAATACTATATTTATGCTACATTTAGACCATGACTGCTAATAAGCCCACTCATGTCTGTTGCTGTTTAGTAGAATTAAATATCATATTTTTTGTTATCCCCTTGCCTCCCCCTTGATCTGAAGTCAGAATTTGTCACTTGGGCCTGTGGACTTCTTGCAGTGTAAATACCCAGTACAACATTTTCTTTGTCTCTATTGTCTTTTGTTACTGTTTAGGAGAGATGACAAATGAAATATTAATTTTCTTGTTTTTATGTTTATGTTTATGTTTTTATGTTTAAGTAGCTACCTGATCGCGGATCTGACCAGGGACATATATTTTCATACCTTTCTCACATTTCAGCTTATGAGATCGTGGCTGTGACGGGGGACAAACTGAATGGCGGTACCAACGCCAATGTGTATCTGACAATTTACGGTAGAACTGGTGCTACGGAGAAAATCCCACTCAAAAACAATACAGGCAAAATGTTTGAACGAGGAAGTAGTGACATTTTTAAAGTGAACACAAAATGTGTTGGACCCATGCGTAAGGTGCGAATTGAGCATGATAACACTGGAATGGGCGCAGGCTGGTACCTAGAGAGGGTAAGCTTTGTGTCTTAGTCTACGCCGTTTATATCTCAATACACGCTATGTGAAAATAAATCAACTCACAGTTTTTTTTGCGGCTCAAATTTTATGGTTTTATGAAAATATGCATTTGTGTTGGCACTTGTACTAGTACTAAAATCCTTAACAACCGTGATCTGTTTATCATTATATGTCAATTTGTAGATTGGGAGTAACAACAAATTTAAGAAAAATAAAACAACCACAAAAATGTATGATTTTACAGTAACTATGATTGTCTAATTCTTCCCTTGAAATTCAATAATATATATATATTAATTGATAAGTAATGACAGCTGACTGAGATGAAACTGCCGACTCATATATCAGATTCCTTTCCTTTTGCCAAATTTTCAAATTCAAAACAAAAGAAAAGTTCCCAGTATTTATCATAAACTGAAAGCAAAGCTGGGTGTACCTTAGCACAATTCCGTTTGTCTGTTCAGGGACTTTAAGTGCAAATAAAGTCACTTTACTTTTTATTCACGCTGTACATTTCTGCGTGGATATGAAGCATGCTTCAGTTGATCTCTTCATTACAAACTGTTACAGTTCTCTCTTTACTTGTTTTTTTTGTGGTTACCATAGTAAATAAGAAAATTTCTGTTCATGTTTTTAATTTTTGGTAGATCGTGGTGTCAGACATGAAACATCAACAATGGAAGTATTTTTTCCCATGCGGACAATGGCTGGCACGGGACGAGGGAGATGGTGCCATCTGTCGTGACCTCATTGGTAGCAAAGACCCATTTGGTATCAGAAAAGGTGGGCATCAATTTCATTTTGAAAAATTTAACTTAGAATCAAACCAGATCTTTAAGCATCTTAATTAAACTTTTGTATCTTTTCATGAATATTTGTTTGTTGAAACCATAAAGGTGTTCAGACTTTAAAGATATACATAAACAAATAGAAAAAAATAGCTGCAAATGAATTGGTATGAAAAAATGACAAAAACACTAAGACTGTTCACAAGGCCTTTTTGCCTTCTTTGGCTTCTTCAGGCAGAATATTGATTTAGAGACAAATAATTTTTATGCCTGAAGGAGGCAGTAAGGCCTTGTGAAGAGTCATTTGTCATAATTTCGTATTAACAAATTTATTTTTGTATATTTTGTGTAAAGTATTTGTTCAAGATATGTTTTTTCTTCAAAATATAAATATTTTTCCATTAATATATATACTTTTTCATTTCTTAAGAGAGTAAATACAAAGTCACAGTCTACACCGGAGATACACGTGGAGCTGGGACAGACGCAAACGTTTACATAACACTGTTTGGGGAAATTGGTGATTCAGGAGAGAAGAGACTTGACTCGACTTCAAACAACTTCAGACGGGGAAAGTAAGTACATTTGTATCTTAGAAGTATGTTGTACAGATAACTGTGTTATCTCACAGAATAATGGTCTCCAAACAAAAAGATATATAGACGTATTGGGGTATTTTGGCTATAACTGGAACCCTTACATATCAATATATTGATTCCATGCATATATAAAGCATTAAATAAATTTAAGTGATTTGTAGAATATATGTTGAGCATAAAAGATAGAATGCATTTCAGAACATCTGAATTTTAATATTGTGTCAAGTTGGTTTATTATGCCCGATTTGATTATCATTATTGAAGATCTGTGGACTTACCTCCCCTTACATGTCTGCTGAACTGCGTGATCTGTAGTTTTCTCACTAGTGGAGACACTGTTCTCCGTCATTTATGCCATCATATTAACAACAGCGTCCCTTTGCCAGATCAGACGAGTTTATGCTGAAGGCGCCCTGCCTTGGGAGGTTAGAACGTGTCCGGATCGGACATGACAACACTGGATTTGGTCCTGGCTGGTTCTTGGACAAGGTAGGTCATGTTTCCTATAATATTCTCAGGAACTGGGAAATATGACTTAAACTTGTATCTAGTATTTCATATGGTGATTAATTGGATTTTGAAAAACAAAATAATTTTGAGAAAGTTTAACAACATTTTCTCTCCTTGGTAGTATTTATTTATCAGAATCCTTAATCCTTATGGACTATGCAGACAGATATCTTAACCGTAGGATAAGATTTTTCATGTTTTAAAATGAGGCTTTGCTAAGAGTTGAACTTAAAAAGTTTTATCTCAAGGCCTGAGGTGAGACTTGTCTATGTATATCACATGGAAAGGATTCATCTTACCAACTAATACTGGTGAACCAAACATATTTCATCTTTATCAATAGTAGTTGAAATAATTGTAAAATCCTGTTTGCATCATCGGAGTGAAACAGTGACTGCTACATATTCCTGTTAATGTAGATGGTATTTTCAATTAAATCACACCATGTTATTTCTGAGGTATAACCTCAAAAGGAAGGAGGGGGGAGTTTTGGTAACGAAATTAGTTAAAAAGTTTAAGATAATTTTGACAAAATCATATTTGAGAAATAGAATCATATACCTGGTATGTTTGAGATGGCTGTATCTCAACCTCAGGCTGATATTCTACAATATATTGCCTCAAAGGAAATCTTGTTATAGAATGTAGGCTCGCAACAAAGTTGATCTTAACAATACATTAAAATGCTATTAGTGACAAGGAAAAATGTGCCATTGTTTTGAAAATGTCCTCCCTTAAAAAAAATGGTCACACCCTCAATTTATATTGCATTACTAAGTCACAGACAAAAAACGTCAATTCGATCTCAGATTTATGTTAACATGTTTTATGTTATTAACAAATTGAAGTAAGTTCACCATTGCAACGGACTTGTGGGGCAAACTTAACCAATCACCCCTGAGTTACATAGACAGAGAAATGTCAAACCTGGGAATGAAATTTTCAAAGTTAAGTACAGTAAAATGCCCATGGATTTTTTGAGAAACATTAGTATATAACAGTTTTGAAGAAACTTTACATTTTGGATGTTTTTATAGACTCGGAGGGTAGAGTTTCAGCTACAATAAGCTATGTGACACTGATACTATAGAAACCTAGTGCCATTTTGACAGCCATTTCTTGTGGTGAAGGTTGTGTAGGTAATTCATTGAAAGACAATGAGCTGTTACCAATAACAGGTCTCTGATTGGTCGGAAATATTGCCAGAATGTGATACTAAAAATATGATATTGCTACATATAATTGATAAGGCCTCATATAGCTAGTTAACACACACCAAACAGGTAAAACAAAATTGGTTAAAAAATCAGCTGGATAAAAACATAAGGGCTGTAAATAGGAGATAAGACTATCTCCTGCAGGACATTCGCTTTTATGTCAAGATCTGGTGCTGAATCTGACAAGTGTCAAGTGACACAGGGGTCAGGTTAGACAGCATGTTTTCTGTAAATGATATTATCCAGTGAAAGTCAGGTTGGGGTGAATGTTGTAACAATTTGGAGTAAAGCCAACATGAAGCAAAAGATACACTTTCCTGCAATCAATCAGATCTGTTTTTCAACTTTAATGTGTTTTGGAAAACATGGAGTATCTATCTCAAAATTATCTTGTTATCAGTCATGTAACACCAAGTACATCATTCGTGTTACAAACACATGTTTGAACTTATACCCACTGTGATTGGCTGTATTCTAGGTGACTGCTGTGTTTATTGTGATGTTCCAACTTCAAGGATACACAAGTCTCTCATGATTTTATTGTGAAGTTCTGAAAGAAATGACCTTGACCCATTTTCAAGTTCATAGGGGGTCAAATTTGTTAAAACTGTCAATCTACTTGTGATTAACCAAATGGCATGGATTTATGATATTTACCTAATAGTTTCATGGGATAAAAAATAATGTGCTGAAAGAAATTACCTTGACCTGTGTTCAAAGTCACAGGCGTCATATTATAGCACTTTGTGATGGCATATGAATACAAGTCCTCACTTCTACCTACCAGTAGGCGTATATTACAGATCTTTAAGTCTTTTCTCTTACATGATTTGAATCTAAGACATCAACACAAGGATACAATCTGTTGTAGAGACTCCCCGAGAAAACACGTGGATCTTTCGTCTAAAGTCTTATTTGTATATTCTTTTATTTTCCTGGTTTCTTTACATAGAACATTTCATGCTATAAAAATTTAGCTAAAGTGATCTTACAAATTTCATGAAATATTTTGAGCAGGAAAACAAATTTACCCATTATTTAGCTCTAAACAGCCTTCCATCAGTATCTACAAGTGTTCATTACTGACAGTTGGGTCATATTGGTAAGGGAGACAGTTGTAAGTGAATACAAAAAGTCTGGCAGAGTATTAAAAGAAAAGAGAAGAAAGTTATTATTGTTACTGGTTCTCACTGAGTGAGGAAACATTTATACTCTATTCTCTGTTAAAAGGATTTATATTGGTAGCAAGTTCCAACACAGTGATATAATGATTTCTTGTAGTGTAAATTATCTTTCTCTCTCATCCCTGTAGACTAAGCAGTACTTTGGGATGTTTATCTTAGCGCCATCTGGTGGTGAACAAACAGTCACCAGGTGGAGCCTGTGTTTTTACGTGTTAATTAACAAGAACTGAACAGTTTTATCTGGTTCATTGTGACCTTTATTATGTAACCAAGGTCATATAAATTAGGTGAAGGTCATGCTAAATTATTGTCATTATTAATTTGAGTTAAACAACGCATGTACAAAAAGTTACTTTCTTATTTAAAGATATTCCAGTTTTTGATATCTTTAAATTAACGATCATACAATATTCATTTTATCACCATCGTGTAGCCTTCCAAATTTAAATTTCCAGAACATTCATTAATTATACAAACACCTTTCATCAGCGCCATTACATACCAACTGAAATACATACAAATCATGTCCAATTTCACTCAAATGTATCCCTACAAAATCTGTTATCATCTGTAAATTCTGCATACCACATGATAATGCATCACTTTCCTCTCCTATGCATACATTATAGTATTTTCAAAACATGAAAATATTCTTCTATCATTATTATTATCGTTGACATAAATCCTCAGTGTTCATTTTCCTGGTTATAAGTCTCAAAATTCATTCAGGTTTCAAAACCTGTCCTTTCCCTGAAATTCCTCATCAACACAGCACATTTGGAGTTATCTCCCCATAGTTAATATAAGTGGCATATAAGATAATGTTGTTTATAACATAATTGTCACTCTAATAACCATAAAAAACATTTTTCTGCTTCAGAATTCTCTCCCCTGAAGTAGTTCTACTGATATTTACAATATTATCTTCTCTGATTTCTTCTCTTTTTTAGAGTTATCTCTCCCTGAATTGTCCTTTTGATAATCAGAGTGTTATCTTCTGTTCTTAAGAGTTCTCTCTTCTTACATAATATCACTGATTATCACCAGAGTTATCTTCTCTTCAGAAGAGTTGTCTCCCTTTGAATAGTTTCAATGATTACTGATAATCACAGAGACTGTTGTTCTTTAGAATTATATCTCCCTTGAATAGTCTCTCCGATAATGACAACCTTTTCCTTTTAGTGTTTTCTCACCTGGTTTTGTTTCACTGATTGTCAGTTTTGTTTTCCGGATTTATCTCCCCTGGTATTGTCATTATAATAATTTGTATTGCAAAATGAATTATCTCGCCTTACTTTGCGAGACAGATATATCTTCCTGAATGATTTACAACAATCTTCACATTGTTTCTACCCTTATATCGGAAGACATATTTTCAGTGCACTTTCCTATTTGATGGTATAATAATATCCTATGTGCGTCCTTTAGTTACACAGTGTATAAGATCCATTGTTACACTCAGCTCAACATGATGACTGGTAATTCTTAACAAAGACTTATTTTCACATTGTTGTTAGTTTGTATTGAGGGTCAGATAAACTCTTCAGGGTATTTTCACACCACACTCATACCAGCTTGCAACTGGAGTCAAGATGGAAGACAGCTTGGCAAGGCGGGGCTCCTGACCCCAATTTTCTCGCATGTATGCTGTGGAAAGAAAAGAAATAATGTAATTGACATAATAATCCTTGTGTTCAGTCTGCATTCTAACCAACCCCTGGCCCCTCTACATTCCCACCAACCTAAGGTCCCTCTACATACTTACCAACCCCTTCCTTGGCCCATGTTGAAGGTCAGTGGGATCAACTTTGTTAAAGCCTTGGAATAACTTTACCTGACCAACAAAAAGGCCCAGACAAGCTGACAAAGTTAGCTAAAAGAGATAAACTGATTCTAAGTGATTGTGGTAAAATTTGTTTAAATCTTAAAATGTCTTCTTTTGATTAACCAGATGTTGCAGAAGCATGATATTTCGCTTAAAGGTTCCTGGTATGAAGTATAATAAAGTTTGTGAAAAAAAGTGACCTTCACCTATATTCAAAGTCACAGGGGTCAAAGTTGTTAAAATCTTAAAACGACTTATTCTGATGAACCAAAAGGCCTAAAAGCATATTTTGGCTATTAAACCTCTCACATGAAGACTGACAATGTTAACGAAAATAAATGACCTTGACCCATATTCAGTGTCACAGGAGTTTGATTTTGTAAACTTTAAACAATTTTTTCAGATTAACCAAAAGATTTAGAAGCCTGATATTTGGAAGTTAGGTCTCTGGAATGAAGCCTGAAAAATTTTGCAAAAGGACTTATTCAAGGTCACAGGGGTCAAAGACTTCTTCTTGTAAACCAAAAGTCTGAGAAACAGGATATCTGTTGGAAAGGTGTTAAGAAGTTAATGTTCGTTCTGGACATAGGTTAAATTGATTGGATGTGCGCACTTTGAATGCCAATGGTGCACATTTGAATGTATTTATGATGCACGTTGATAATATTTTTGATGAACATTGTATACCAGGTGACAATGCAGGGCCACTAAAGACCAGCCTTTCTACATTCTGAATTAACCCTGTTCCTCTACATTTTCACAAACTCTAGACCCTTCTCCCTTTTCACTAACCAATGACCCCCTCTACATTCCCACTAACCCTTTTCCCTGTCTCTATTCTCACTTATGATCCTATTTCCATTTGATATTTTGTAAAACAATGAATAAGTAATTGTAGATTAAAATATATGAGTAATCTAGTCGATGAAAGTCGGTAAAACAAAAACAATCATCCATAAATATCTAAGTCATCGGGTTCATTTTTCTGTCTTCTTGCCAACATATAGCCTTTAAGATTTTTATCATATGAAATTTGTTGCAATTACACAAGCATAGTTGGTCAAGCTTAGAGAAACCGGTTGGTAGGTCATTGACCTTACAGACACCTGTTGGTTGCTAGCTGACCTTACAGACACCTGTTGGTAGCTAGCTGACCTTACAGACACCTGTTGGTAGCTAGCTGACCTTACAGACACCTGTTGGTAACTAGCTGACCTTACAGACACCTGTTTGTAGCTAGCTGACCTTACAGACACCTGTTGCTAGCAAGCTGACCTTAAAGACACCTGTTGGTAGCTAGCTGACCTTATAGACACCTGTTGGTAGCTAGCTGACCTTACAGACACCAGTTGGTAGCAAGCTGACCTTACAGACACCTGTTGGTAGCTAGCTGACCTTACAGACACCTGTTGGTAGCTAGCTGACCTTACAGACACCAGTTGGTAGCAAGCTGACCTTACAGACACCTGTTGGTAGCTAGCTGACCTTACAGACACCTGTTGGTAGCTAGCTGACCTTACAGACACCTGTTGGTAGCTAGCTGACCTTACAGACACCTGTTGGTAACTAGCTGACCTTACAGACACCTGTTTGTAGCTAGCTGACCTTACAGACACCTGTTGGTAGCTAGCTGACCTCAGACACCTGTTGGTAGCTAGCTGACCTTACAGACACCTGTTGGTAGCTAGCTGACCTTACAGACACCTGTTGGTTGGTTGTTGAGCTTACAGACACCTGTTCGGAGCTTATACTTTTTACTAACAATATATAAAGATACTAGTTTAAAATTACATGTACCATCTGTCTTAAACTAAACAATACCAGATTCTACAATGCTATCCTGTTTTAACTCTCTGCTCATGATTTTTAAGTGTTTTTTTTTCTTTATAGTGAAGAAACTTTATGGCATGCGAGGAAAATAGGTTAATTTTTTTTCTCCCAAGAATGGCAATCAAATCTCATATACGTTTATCTGTAATGTATATGTTTCTGGTTTGTTTTTTATTAGTGATTGTGTTTATGATTCAGAAGTTAGAAGTGCTGAGTAATGTGTTTGTTGTTTTCAAAAGACATGATAGGTGTCAGAAAGGGAATCCAATTTGTTTTCTGTTGGTGTCCTGTATCTGGGATCTGATTTTTGGAACAGATATATAAAAGTAACACACCCTCATCAGCACTTGTACAGTCACGCCAATTTACAAGACAAGTGTGAACTCTGAGTAAGGGGCTGATAAGTGTGAGTTCTGTATAGTGTTAAAGTGTTGGGGAGACACAGAATGAATGGAAATAGACTTACATGAAATCTAAGATATACATTATGGAGTGGGGTGGGGGAGAATCTTTGTCTTTTTCTGTAGCATTATTTCACAGAATTCCTAACAACAATAAAAACCATTGTGTTAAAATTTTCTGGGTTACCTGGAAGGTGAATTGTGTTAAAAAGAACATTTTCATGGTAACATGGGAGGTGAATTGTGTTCAAAAGAACATTTTCTGGGTAACATGGAAGGTGATTTTTTTTAAAAGGAACACTTTCTAGGTTACATTTTTTCGATTTTATTTCCTTAAAGTAAACACTTGTACAGGTGTTAGGGTGAATCATAGTAAGACAATCGTACTTTATCGGCTCTTTAAATTACAACCCAATGTAATGGTATCATTTTCAGAACTTTCTATTACATAAACATGTATTTGTAGAACTTACCTTCTGATGAAGGAAAGAAAGTAAATCCTTTTTCCACCTGGGCGATTGTATCTCTTGTCCCACCGACAAATTCACAATGATCTTCACCATGGCCATGCTCATCAGCAATGTCTAAGAACTCATCATCTAAAGAGTTTCCAAGTAAAATTTTGTATCGATCTTCAGAGCACAAAATCACGCCAACAAATCTAGCAGTTGTTCCGCTACAGACACTATTCTGACGAACATATTGGAGTTTATTACAGCTGTTTTTAACACTGTAATAACTGAAATTGTACGCCATCCATTCTCCTGTTTCTAGTCGTTGTTGGATATATAAATATTTTATCGTCATTTCATTTTTCGAGACTTTTTGCTCCATGGTTGTTTGTTTCACAGTCATAATTTGAATGCTGCGACTCAGGTTTGTGAGCACTGAAAATCTAGACTGGTCACGAAGGAGACTTTGCTGTAGAGAGCGGAATTTAGTTCCAATTTCCCGATCATTTTGTGCCATGCTATCTTTGATACGGTCTAGCTTTACATCGAAAGCATTTTGCTTAAAGTCAAAGTCACCAAAATCAGCCTCAAGGTCATTCACTCGCATTTCAATGTCGGAGTTTTGGTTGCGTGACTTATTAATATGTTTTATTTGCGACTGGATTGTGTTAATATTCTGTTGGAGATTACCCAGCATTTGCTGACTTTCGTTACGATAACTTTGTAGTGTCTGTTTAAATATATTCAGATAACTACTTGATTTATTGTTATTTCTCTCCTGAATTGTCACTCTTTGCTCGAGAGCTGTTATGGACGAATCCAGTCGCTCCTTAAGATTTTTTTGAATATGTGTTTTTAAAACATCAAGTTCATTCTGTAAATGTGATGCTCGTTGAAGGGTATTTTGAGGTCCATCCACTCGTCTGTTTAGAGATTCCAGTCCAGCTTTCAAATCAGCAACCTGTTGTGTTATTAACAGTCCTGCAGATAAAGCTGATGTTCTCTCAGTTCTATAAAATTCGGTCTGATTTCTTTTCAGTTCTGTAAACTTGATTTCAAGCTCTGACATTTTTTCAGTGAAGTTGCATTGAGAACAATTTGGTTGTGTGTCTTGGTTCAGAGTTGCCATAGCAACTTCATCCTGATGTTGTCTGATCGCTTTGTTAACAATACGTTGTATCATGAACTTCAGTTGTTGCGATATGTCATTTGTTATCTGATTTGTTTCTTTTGGTGTCAAACTCGACTGTGACGTATCTTGAGTTACTGATGAGGAGTTTGCTGACAACAAATCACTTGAAAATTCATCGTCTGTTGTCATATTTTCTTCTGATATGTTGTGTTGTAATATATTTTCCGACTGATTGGTGCCATAAGACATCTTTCTTCGCTGTTCTTCATCTGACATTGTGGTTGAACTGGGTTCAACGGTAAGATTAGAAGATTTATTAAATGTTATTTTCAATTTATCCGATTCTTTCTCCGATACTGTTTCACGTTTTTTAAATTCTTCTATCTCCTTCATTTTTCTGCCTGTTAATTTTTTTAGTGATCGAGCAAGCTGGTTAATATTTAAAGAATCGACTTCCAACAGTTCATCATTCTCTTGTTCTTCAGACCTAAATAAAGAGTCATCTCCCTTTAAAAGTAATTTCTGCAATGACGAATTTTCTGGGTTCCCAGTTAACCCCTCCATGTCTGTGGCGGATCCTATGTCCTCAAAGTTTCGAGAATACATATGGAATAGTTCCTGTTCCAAACTCTCCATTAAGTTCGCTTTTAGAATTTGAAACTCTGCCATAAGTAATGGTTTAATGGGGTCCAGTAGTCTATCTGAATCTTCTGTTGACCTTGAATTTGACCTACTTAAAGTGTCAATTTTTGACTCAAATTCATGATATTTTGATTCAAGGTAACGATTTTTTAACGTCATTGCACTCATTTGATTTTCCATGCTTTTGACTTTGTTTGCAAGATCGGCATATTGTGCCATCGCTGGCTGAATGCGCTGCGTGTCGATAACGCGAACATGATGCGTCATTTGTCGTAGCTGGGCCTCCAGTGCCTGTATTTTGGCAATTAGTGCTTCATGGTTGTTACAGTTGTTTTTGATACTGTCCTTGGGAATAACCAAACTCAGAACGCAAGTATCTTGTGCGGCATTATAGTACTGAGGAATGGCAGAGACACGGACAACTTGAGACCAATAAAGTAGAAAATAAGTCACGACAGTGGTGCAAAAGTATTCCATGGTGATGTCCTGGAATTACACAGTGGTATGATTTAATTCCTCTCACTGAAAACTTCCGTGGAAATACTCCAAGACAACATTTAAAGAATTGTAACCCTCTCCTTTGTTATTCATGTATCAGAACAATTTATCCTCCTTTGTTAAAGACACCACAGAACACATTGATGCACGTTAAAATGTCTAGAAAAGTGACAAATTTGCCACTTATATGAAATCCTACTGATACTGGTTATCGGTGTTGAGAAAATACTAAGTATGCTCTCCGCTGTAATCCATATCATTCACACTGTAACACCACATGCTGGGTCCAGATTCATATCATTTTTACGCGGAAACCCATACTTCCTCAAGTTTTGTCCTGTTGGGCAATCCCTCCCAACAAGCTAGTGATAAATTACAACTGTTAAATGTTAGTTTTTTTTTCTTCCTATGCAAGTTTCAACCAGATGTATGAAGAGTTTGTAAATACATAGATATTTTTAGTGTATCTTGTAAACATGGCTCCGCAGTCACTTTCCTTGTATAATTGTGGTAGGAAGTTTGCTATATCATAAGACACATATCCATGCTGTTTGAAGTGGGTGCTGTCTGTGGTTCCTTGGAAGTGAGATCAACTCTGCACCCTCTCTGCCAGCACTGATTGGTCTGGCAGCCAACCACATACAATTCATTCACTCTCTGTTTACAAATGTATATAATGGTCTCCAGCTTCAGAAACATGCCCTCTCGTTTGTAATGTGATGGGTCATTAGTTCTGGCACAGTGATTTGGACCCTGGTCAAAACAATTTCTACAGCCTGAAAGAATTTCAGAGTTGTTTGTAAATAAATTATCGTTTTAACTGCAAGTCAGACGCTTAAAATTGAACAAACAAATAGCCACTTTGTTAGTAGCTATGACTCACACAAAGTCACTCATCGATACTTAACATTCTGATTCATCACTGTTAAGGGTTTGGTAGATATAATCTTTTCCAAAAAAAAAATATATATTTCATCATTGCTTTTCTTTCCAGTTTAATAGAGTAGGGAATATAATGATTCTATGAAACAAAAACAAAACAAATTAGTTAATTTCTTTTGATAAGGAGGATAAAAAAAATCTTTTAAAAATGAACTACAAGAGCGGTTCATTTCATATTCCTCCAAAGAATTGATGTAAAGATTTAAATATTTCATATGAAATCACAACATCATGTAAATAGAATGTTATGTTAATTGGAAAAGGATGTTGATGTTCCACACAATTTTTATAATCATGTATCTCAACGGAAAATTGAATTATTTTCACATTATGAGTTAATCAGAGGAATAACTCTTTAATGTAGTCTGATTATTTCCATCCCTTATAAATGATTAGATTAGAATAAAGCGTTGGAATTCCTAACATCTTTAATTTGATATAAATATGAATCAAATATAAATGGACAGACATTTTGTTTCGATATTCTGAACCATTAAACAGCCTCATTAGTGCGAAACATGTAAGTTACTGCAACATGTGTTTAGTTATGGAGGTAGGCCTTAAAGTGCTATCATACCGTATTTGCTAAAATTCACTCCCCAGATTTTTTATTTTTAATGAACAACAGACTTTTTTTGGATAATTTTTTTCGTGTATATTGGAAACTAAGTTTGCAAAAATGCAGAAGGTAGGAAAGATTTGAGCTATGTTGTTTTAGCACCAAACTGATGACTGATAGAGAATTGTGTGGTTTCAACACCATGTGAGTTTGGGGAGGAGAAAATTGGAAAAATGTGGTTTCTGTACCAGTAGGATTTATGGGGAATTTTAAGGAGGATGAGGGTGGATCATAGAGCATGTCATTGTTAATATCAACATAGAGATCAAGGATGTTTGGTTTAGGCTGAAATGATTGTTGTGTCAGCAAATACAACAGGATATCCTTTTTTATAATGTCAAAAAAAAGACTAAAGTAAAATTATAAGAAATTGGGTGTACTTATTTCCTTTGGGAAAGAACTTCCTGAATTAAATACTGTGACCTTATTGTTAAACTTACAACACTTCAGAATATAGATTTTTACTTATCTCGGTAAAGTCTCCAAATTTGTAATATCAACTGGCTTTATACACAGTAAACAGATCTCTTTATCAATAGTTCTCAGACAACTAGATATCGTCTAATGACACACCTATGTATGACATATCTTTATTTTCAAGGTTTAATCTTTTTAAAAATTGTCATTTCGTAGACACTTGATTATTTTGAGAATAAATATAATTTAATAAACCTGTGTATATTTATTTTAACAATTTGTGGGTATATGTATTTGTGGATTAAAAGTATGAAACCAATGGAAATCAATAAAAAATTAATGATTTACTGTATCTTTATATGACACACCTGTCTGCATGTATCTCACCTGTATCTCACCTGTATCTCACCTCTGTCACATTTCTATATTTCCAGGTAATTATTGATGATACTGACAACAACATCGTGTACGAGTTTCCATGTAATCGATGGTTTGCTACGGACGAAGACGATGGTATGACATCCAGGGACCTCATTGTCAATGTTGGCCCAATGAACATCGCTCCAGGTAAAGATTTTAGACAGCTGCTTGCACAGTGATATCTTTCCATTTGAAACAATTTGATCTTCAAATTCTACAAATTATTTCGGTTAAAAACTGAAAACATGTTCACACTCTTTCAATTGTATTAAAATGTTGGCCATATTGTTAAAAATATTCCAATATTAGAGCATTGGTCGGAGAGGATGGATTTTAGAAAAACTTCGTGAAAACCAATGACTCTGTCCTCTTTAAATTACTGAGGAAAGGGAAAATATATACTAAATTACCTCACAATTCTATTTGATAAATGTTTTTAACTTACTTTAATACACAAATATGTGTCATGTTTCCAGATCGTTGAAGAACAACTCATTTCCAGTCTAAATTAGATTTTGAAAACAGTACTTTTATGTAAAAATATAAATCGCTTATTCATTTGGTGTTCTCTTTTGCCAGCAATAAGCCTTTCCAAACTTTGAGTTAGGATAAGGTGTTGGCCTCCTGGTATTCTGTAATAAGCCCACCATGCATCTTTGAGTCAGACATAAGGTGTTGTCCCCCTGAGGTCCTGTAATAAGCCCACCCCCTGACTTTGTGTTGAAATTATATTTTGACTACTCAAAGGTTCCTTGCTGGTTAGATAACAGAAAACATATTTATTTGAGTCAGGGTAAGGTCTTGTCCCCCTGAGGTCCTGCTGGTTAGATAACAGAAAACATATTTATTTGAGTCAGGGTAAGGTCTTGTCCCCCTGAGGTCCTAAGCCCACCCCCTGACTTTGTGTTGAAATTATATTTTGACTACTCAAAGGTTCCTTGCTGGTTAGATAACAGAAAACATATTTATTTGAGTCAGGGTAAGGTCTTGTCCCCCTGAGGTCCTGCTGGTTAGATAACAGGTATTTGAGTCAGGGTAAGGTCTTGTCCCCCTGAGGTCCTGTAATAAGCCCACCCCCTGACTTTGTGTTGAAATTATATTTTGACTACTCAAAGGTTCCTTGCTGGTTAGATAACAGAAAACATATTTATTTGAGTCAGGGTAAGGTGTTGTCCCCCTGAGGTCCTGCTGTTAAGCCCACCCCCTGACTTTGTGGTTGATAAAGATTATATTTATTTGAGTCAGGGTAAGGTCTTGTCCCCCTGAGGTCCTGCTGGTTAGATAACAGAAAACATACTTATTTGAGTCAGGGTAAGGTCTTGTCCCCCCTGAGTTCCTGCTTGTTAGTTAACAGAAAACATATTTATTTGAGTCAGGGTAAGGAGGTCCTGCTGGTTTAACAGAAAACATAATTATTTGAGTCAGGGTAAGGTCTTGTCCCCCTGAGGTCCTGCTGGTTAGATAACAGAAAACATATTTATTTGAGTCAGGGTAAGTTTCCCCCTGAGGTCCTGCTGGTTAGATAACAGAAAACATATTTATTTGAGTCAGGGTAAGGTCTTGTCCCCCTGAGGTCCTGCTGGTTAGATAACAGAAAACATATTTATTTGAGTCAGGGTAAGGTCTTGTCCCCCTGAGGTCCTGCTGGTTAGATAACAGAAAACATATTTATTTGAGTCAGGGTGTTGTCCCCCTGAGGTTGCTGGTTAGATTTATTTGAGTCAGGGTAAGGTGTTGTCCCCCTGAGGTCCTGCTGGTTAGATAACAGAAAACATATTTATTTGAGTCAGGGTAAGGTCTTGTCCCCGAGGTCCTGCTGGTAGATAACAGAAAACCCCCTGACTTTGTAAATTATATTTGAGGTGACTGGTTAGATAACTCAAAGAGTTCCTTGCTGGTTAGATAACAGAAAACATATTTATTTGAGTCAGGGTAAGGTCTTGTCCCCCTGAGGTCCTGCTGGTTAGATAACAGAAAACATATTTATTTGAGTCAGGGTAAGGTCTTGTCCCCCTGAGGTCCTGCTGGTTAGATAACAGAAAACATATTTATTTGAGTCAGGGTAAGGTGTTGTCCCCCTGAGGTCCTGCTGGTTAGATAACAGAAAACATATTTATTTGAGTCAGGGTAAGGTCTTGTCCCCCTGAGGTCCTGCTGGTTAGATAACAGAAAACATACTTATTTGAGTCAGGGTAAGGTCTTGTCCCCCTGAGGTCCTGTAATAAGCCCACCCCCTGACTTTGTGTTGAAATTATATTTTGACTACTCAAAGGTTCCTTGCTGGTTAGATAACAGAAAACATATTTATTTGAGTCAGGGTAAGGTGTTGTCCCCCTGAGGTCCTGCTGGTTAGATAACAGAAAACATATTTATTTGAGTCAGGGTAAGGTGTTGTCCCCCTGAGGTCCTGCTGGTTAGATAACAGAAAACATATTTATTTGAGTCAGGGTAAGGTCTTGTCCCCCTGAGGTCCTGCTGGTTAGATAACAGAAAACATATTTATTTGAGTCAGGGTAAGGTGTCCCCCTGAGGTCCTGCTGGTTAGATGTCCCCCTGAGGTCCTGCTGGTTAGATAACAGAAAACATATTTATATGAGTCAGGGTAAGGTCTTGTCCCCCTGAGGTCCTGCTGGTTAGATAACAGAAAACATATTTATTTGAGTCAGGGTAAGGTCTTGTTGACAGATAACTGTTAAAACATATTTATTTGAGATAACAGAAAACATATTTATTTGGTCAGGGTAAGGTCTTGTCCCCCTGAGGTCCTGCTGGTTAGATAACAGAAAACATATTTATTTGAGTCAGGGTAAGGTCTTGTCCCCCTGAGGTCCTGCTGGTTAGATAACAGAAAACATATTTATTTGATATTTTGTCCAAAGGGTTAGATAAAGAAAACATATTTATTTGAGTCAGGGTAAGGTTTGTCCCCCTTGCTGTGTTGTCCCCCTGAGGTCCTGTAATAAGCCCACCCCCTGACTGACTACTCAAAGGTTCCTTTGGTTAGATAACAGAAAACATATATATTTGAGTCAGGGTAACTTGTCCCCCTGAGGTCCTGCTGGTTAGATAACAGAAAACATATTTATTTGAGTCAGGGTAAGGTCTTGTCCCCCTGAGGTCCTGCTGGTTAGATAACAGAAAACATATTTATTTGAGTCAGGGTAAGGTCTTGTCCCCCTGAGGTCCTGCTGGTTAGATAACAGAAAACATATTTATTTGAGTCAGGGTAAGGTCTTGTCCCCCTGAGGTCCTGCTGGTTAGATAACAGAAAACATATTGATTAATTTTTATATGGTTAGATAATTGTTGAGGTCCCCCTGAGGTCCTGCTGGTTAGATAACAGAAAACATATTTATTTGAGTCAGGGTAAGGTCTTGTCCCCCTGAGGTCCTGCTGGTTAGATAACAGAAAACATATTTATTTGAGTCAGGGTAAGGTCTTGTCCCCCTGAGGTCCTGCTGGTTAGATAACAGAAAACATATTTATTTGAGTCAGGGTAAGGTGTTGTCCCCCTGAGGTCCTGTAATAAGCCCACCCCCTGAGGTCTTTGTGTTAGATAACATTATATTTTGACTACTCAAAAGTGGTTTCCTCCTGCTGGTTAGATAACAGAAAACATATTTATTTGAGTCAGGGTAAGGTCTTGTCCCCCTGAGGTCCTGCTGGTTAGATAACAGAAAACATATTTATTTGAGTCAGGTCCTGTAGATAAGCCCACCATATTTATTTGAGTCAGGGTAAGGGTTGTAACAAACCTCCTGACTTGTCCCCCTGAGGTCCTGCTGTTGAAATTATATTTTGACTACTCAAAGAAAACATATTTATTTGAGTCAGACATAAGGTCTTGTCCCCCTGAGGTCCTGCTGGTTAGATAACAGAAAACATATTTATTTGAGTCAGGGTAAGGTCTTGTCCCCCTGAGGTCCTGCTGGTTAGATAACAGAAAACATATTTATTTGAGTCAGGGTAAGGTCTTGTCCCCCTGAGGTCCTGCTGGTTAGATAACAGAAAACATATTTATTTGAGTCAGGGTAAGGTGTTGTCCCCCTGAGGTCCTGTAATAAGCCCACCCCCTGACTTTGTGTTGAAATTATATTTTGACTACTCAAAGGTTCCTTGCTGGTTAGATAACAGAAAACATATTTATTTGAGTCAGGGTAAGGTCTTGTCCCCCTGAGGTCCTGCTTGTTAGATAACAGAAAACGTATTTATTTGAGTCAGGGTAAGGTCTTGTCCCCCTGAGGTCCTGCTGGTTAGATAACAGAAAACATATTTATTTGAGTCAGGGTAAGGTGTTGTCAGGTCCTGCTGGTTAGATAACAGAAAACATATTTATTTGAGTCAGGGTAAGGTCTTGTCCCCCTGAGGTCCTGCTGGTTAGATAACAGAAAACATATTTATTTGAGTCAGGGTAAGGTGTTGTCCCCCTGAGGTCCTGCTGGTTAGATAACAGAAAACATATTTATTTGAGTCAGGGTAAGCTGTTGTCCCCCTGAGGTCCTGTAATAAGCCCACCCCCTGACTTTGTGTTGAAATTATATTTTGACTACTCAAAGGTTCCTTGCTGGTTAGATAACAGAAAACATACTTATTTGAGTCAGGGTAAGGTGTTGTCCCCCTGAGGTCCTATAATAAGCCCACCCCCTGACTTTGTGTTGAAATTATATTTTGACTACTCAAAGGTTCCTTGCTGGTTAGATAACAGAAAACATATTTATTTGAGTCAGAGTAAGGTGTTGTCCCCCTGAGGTCCTGTAATAAGCCCGCCCCCTGTCTTTGAGTTGAGGTTATGTATTGGCTACTCAAGGTTCCTTGCTGGTAAAATATACTGGAAACATATTCATTTTGATGGTATTTTTATTTTAGCACTTTTCAAGGTAAAAATACTAAAAATATGTTTGAGACACCTATAGTTTCATTATGTCGTTTTGATGGGAATTAATGTGCTAAATTTTGATTGCCTTAATTATGTCAATTTACAGGAATTAGAAGAGTATATATATGCGTTATTTTCTCTAAATACTGTGTTGATTTCTCCATCAGGAATTCCGTACGTCATCACCGTAACAACAGGGGACAAATCAAAAGCTGGAACAGGTGCCAGGGTATTTGTAGTGATGAATGGACCACAGGGAAAAACAAGTGGTAAAATATGGCTGGAGACCGGAAAATTTGAACGAAATACAACCGACATTTTCAATGTTGATGTTGTGGAGATGTTGAGTCCACTCAAGGAGATTGAGATTGGTCATGACAACAGTGGTGTAGGGCCTGGATGGTACTTAGAGCAGGTCATTGTCTTCTGCCCAAGCACGGGAATAGAACAGGTGTTCCCCTGTCAGAAGTGGTTTGCAACAGACAGCGGTGATGGTCAGATACAGCGTGTCCTCAAAGAGCAGAAAGCGGTCCGTAAAACCAAAGAAAAAAGTAAGTTTGTTTTCAAGGTCATGTGAAGGGTAAAACTCCCTCAAAACACAAACTGTTAACAAGATTAATTTGTAAACGAATCTTGGAAAAGATTGTACAATGGCAGATATTGGAAGTCAAAATGAAAATTACTACAGTTAAAAAAGTAGCTTAAAGCGAAACATTCTACTCCTGATATTAAAGTATTAAACTTTAAAATCATTTCCTTCCCCCAGAGATCCCATGGATTGTTATCGTTTCAACAAGTGATGTGAGAAGTGCAGGCACTGACGCCAATGTCTACATGGTTGCCTATGGTGATAAAGGTAAAACTGAAAAGGTTACTCTGAGCAACAAAGGTGACAACTTTGAGAAAGGACAAACAGATCACTTTAAAGTGGGCATGGTAGACATTGGCAAGTTGTATAAGGTCCGTGTGTGGCACGACAATGATGGACTGGCGTCAGGCTGGCATCTCAACAAGGTCATTCTTGAAAATGTGACAACCAAGGAGAAGTACAACTTCAAGTGTGACCGCTGGCTGGCCGACGACGAGGACGACAAGTCACTTATACGAGAAATGCCAGCAGAGAGTAAAGATATCAACAAACCTCTTCCTTGTAAGTATTGAATCGTGTAACATGGATCCAAGGTTTGATTGTATAATAAAAATAAAATATATAATAAATGACGTCTTCCATTAAATGTACCCAGGCGCTTTCTTTGGGACGTATAAAGCATGATCTATGTCCATCAGAAGTTTGTTACTTTCTTTCATTTCTATGGAACTTGTTAGATTTACTCATCACCTGTGCTTGAGGAATACTGGAGTAAACATTTGTGTGCAGAGTTATTGCCCTTTTAATACTTAAAACCAGGTTTGCTACTTTCACCATTGCCATAAACATTTCATGCTTTTTTTTTTACAGTGGTGAAATACACTGTGGAAGTTTACACAGGAAAGAAGATGAGAGCTGGTACTGATGCCAATGTGTTTGTGAACCTGTTTGGAGAGCTAGGTGATACTGGTGATCGGCCTTTAAAAGAATCCAAAACTAACAAAAATAAATTTGAGAAAGGAAATGTAAGTGTTGCAGTCTGTTATGTTTAAGTTAAACCTATCAATTGCAGTATGAAAAATCATAAATGTTTCAAGACCATTTTGCATATTTACTTTACTTTCACTTTCAGTTTCTATCTATAGCACAGCAACCCAGGGTAGGCTTATACATGCTTATTTTACATCAATGTAACAAAGTATTGATCCAAAGGCAACCTTGTAACTGTAAAAATTATCTATTGGAACACAAATTAAAAAGATAAAATTTTGTAGAATAACTCATGCTGTCTGTGGTCCTACTGAAACAAATAGGTATCAAATTATTCTTACCATCTCTGAACTAGACATATATTTCATATTTCCAGGTTGACATTTTTACATTGGAAGCAGTGACCTTACTCAAATTAAATAAGGTCATCATAGGGCATGATGGGAAGGGTGCAGGTTCAGGCTGGTTTCTGGACAAGGTCGTAGTCAAGCAGGAAGGTTCAGACAAATTTGATGCTTCCTTTGAATGTGGACGGTAAGCATACTTTATATTTTTTTTTCACTTTGATCTGTAAAGAAATTTCTATGTTTAGACTTTGGTGAATCTTTGTATGTTGAACTTGTGACGGAAGAACTAGCTACAGTGATAGGAATAATGAATTATATATATATCAAGTAAAATAGTACATATTGAAGTATTCATAGGATGAGGTCAGAGGTCAGGACAGTTGGTTACAAAAATAAGATTGTAAAAAATTAATATACTGTCACACACCCAGAGACTAAAGTTATGTCCCTTGTTGTATTCACACCCCAAGTCTAGAGTTATGTCCCTTGTGTTTATTCCCAGAGTCTAGTGTTATGTCACATGATTTATTCACTGCTCAAGTCCAGATTTATGTCCCTTGTTGTATTAACTTCCAGAGTCTAGAGTTATGTCCCTTGTTGTATTTACTTCTGATGTTTAGATTTATGTCCCTTGTTGTATTAACTTCAAGAGTCTAGAGTTATGTCCCTTGTTGTATTTACTTATAATGTTTAGATTTATGTCCCTTGTTGTATTAACTTTTGATGTTTAGATTTATGTCCCATGTTGTATTAACTTCAAGAGTCTAGAGTTATTTCATAAAATATTTTACCTAATATAATCTTTTTTCATGAATACCACTATCTATTACTTTATAACTCTATTACATAAATCATCACCTTTTTTGTTATTTACAGCTGGCTAGCAACCAGTGAGGATGATGGTCAGATTGTCCGTGAACTTACGCTTGGATCACAAATGTTGTCCAGTAAGTATTATGGGATAGATCCTTAGTTCTATACAAGTTCTATCGCTTATTTCGAAAAATGGCAGGAATTCGAAATGCTTTCTAGTTTAATAAAAAATTTATCTCAACAATGAAGTAAATGTTTAGTATCTTTCCCAAATTCAGCAACCACATACAACGTTTCGGTGACTACGGGCGATGTCAGAAGTGCAGGAACAGATGCCAATGTATCTATACAGATATTTGGATCAAAAGGCGATACAGGAGAACTTCAGTTGCGGTCCTCGGAAAACACCTCAAACAAATTCGAGAGAGGAAAAACAGACAAGTTCAAACTGGAATCTGTAAACATAGGAACGGTAAGTGAGACACAAGTATCGAGGTGTGATATTATCCAAACTATCGGTATTGTGATATTATCCAAACTATCGGTATTGTGATATTATCCAAACTATCGGTAGTGTGATATTATCCAAACTATCGGTATTGTGATATTATCCAAACTATCATTATTGTGATATCATCCCAACTATTGGTAGTGTGATATTATCCCAACTATCGGTAGTGTGATATTATCCAAACTATCGGTAGTGTGATATTATCCAAACTATCGGCAGTGTGATATTATCTGAAGTATGGATAATGTGCTGACATCATGTGAACCACTATAGTGTTTGTCTGCATTACTCAAACATGTAAAATACAAATACTATACATCTTGTCATTCATGAACATTTTTACATATTACACCTGTCTCCCGGTTGGAAAAATAAAAAAAAATAATTTCAGGAAATTTGAATTTCAAAAAAGCTATTGCGTCTGCTTTGAGCTTATTTAATATTTGCGAATTTAGCGACCCTTTGAAAATCACAAAAAATTCTTTTTATTGTAAAGCATCTGTAGAGCTGACATGCCTAAATGCATCTAAACATTTTCTAGTCATGAATACTTCTATGATAAAGAAATGTTTGGACAGAACATAAATCTTTGATCTAGTATGGCAGGTTATTTAGATCTTCATTTGATGTAAGAATCTATGTACTCAAAGTGTTCAAAAGAGGCCTTCCAAATATCTGAGTCAATCTCAAAACTTGATATGAGCAAAAACGACAAAAAGCACATTTTGGAGATATTTGCACAAATTGTAAAGAAATATCCTGATATACGCTTTTTTTTTTAAATATTTGAAAGGTCATAACCCTTTTTCAGAGAATTTTAGATAAACCGTTTTTATCCAAGTGATTTAATTTTTGTTCAGTTAAAGAAAATAAGAATTGGACATGACAACTCAAAGCCTGGTGCAGGTTGGTACCTGGATGAGGTCCGTATAGATGTTCCTTCTCGAGGTGAGCATTATCTGTTTGCCTGCCATCGCTGGCTGGCTAAGGACGAGAAGGATGGCCTCACAATGGTAGAGTTAGAACCATCACACAAGGAGGACCGTGAAAAACGTAAGCCGAACATCATTACTCTATACTATCTGCACACAAATAATATATTTCCTGCAAATGCATGTCAGCTGGCTGTAATCAAGTTCATGGTTTTGAATACCATGTGACTTTTGTCATTAAAACAATGTCTGCATTAATTTATGTCTTAATTAAGTGTGGAAGTCACGTCTCAGTGATGTACTAACAGAATGATATCTATTTCTAACAAGATTTCTTATCTAACATGTAAAAGTTACAACTCTGGTACACCCTGTTGCTAGGTCTTAAACATAAATGTAACTGTCTAGGTACATATAGGAGGAGTATGTATGTGTGGGAGGAGTTATGTATGTGTGGGAGGAGTTATGTATATGTGAGAGGAGAAATTTATTTAATGGAGTAGTAATGTATGTATGTTATGCTTATGTGGGAGGAGTAATGTATGTGTGGGAGGAGTTATATATATTTGGGAGGAGTTATGTATTGGAGGAGAATGTATATTTGGGAGAAGTAATGTATGTATGGGAGGAGTTAGGTTTATGTGGGGAGGAGTTATGTATATATGGGAAGAGTAATGTATGTATGGGGAGGATTTATGTATATTTGGGAGGAGTTATGTATGGGAGGAGAAATGTATATGTGGGAGGAGTTATGTATATGTGGGAGGAGTTATGTATATGTGGGAGGAGCAATGACTATGAGGGAGGAGTTATGTAAGTGATCTAGGCTCTGTAGAATGTTCTGTTACCATATACAGGCTGTGTTTTGAGGTAGACATATTAACAGAACCTATCTTTCTGTGTCTATATTGTCCAGTCTCCACACCTGTAAACATTCTGACCAGGAATTGATAATTATACAAGATATTATTTTTAACAATCAGCTTTTCTCATTGCCTGACATATTAACCTGTTCCTTCTATACTAACACTTTACTCTGTTCTGATTGACCTCGCTACAGATGTCTTCTTTGGAAAATGGAAAAGAACTAATTTTCATCACGAAATAATCTATATTTTTCAAGGAAAACATTTAAGCGAGATCAAATGGATTTTTATACTAGGTACACAGACTGGTTTTGGCCATGATAATTAAAAGTGAAAGGTAATAAGGAGACCTTGGTCATAACATAAAAAGTTTTTTTTTCTCTTTAAATTACATCCCAAGATAGGTAAAAACTACTTGATAATTTTAAACCTTTTAATTTTTTATAAAGTACAAAATTTGAAAGACATTGTTGCTTGATATGATCTTTATGAAACATGCAATTTGACATCCTTTTAAAAATGTCTAAAATTGTGCTTTAATTTCTGTTTGGGTATTTTTCAAAAAGTGTTACCTATCAGAAGCTATAATAATTTTTTATCGAAACTTCATTCTCATTGGTGTCAAAATGAGACTGACTGTTTGATTAGAAACACAAAGTAAACAAAATTCTATACTGACCAAAGGTCAAGAATTGGCAAATTAATCTGACCAATGGCCTGAGTACCTTTCTACTATATATTCCATCACTGAATTTGTATTTATCTTGCACAACTAACTAGGACGCAGAGGGCCAGGTAGGTGGATTATCTCCCTTGGAGAATTGAATTATCCCCCTTCTTTTCTACAGCTTGTCCTTTATATTATGGTGTTATTGCATGAGCTCCATAAAACAAGAAAGTACCATATAAGAAAATAAAATTGAAATGAAAATATATTAATAATGTGAAAAAAGAAAGGAAATAAAAAAACGAAAAATTTATTGCTAATGTAAAAAAAAAAGAAAAAGCAGAATTTGTGGTCTTTATTAAGAAAAGTTTTCTTTCTCTTGTTATGAAGCTGAAATTTGCTTGTGCATTTGTGCATGCCTATATTTAGACAAACGTCTGGTATGAGGAATTTATCCTGTTTGTTGTACATTGCTTACCTTGACAATAAAAATGTGTTGATTTTATGTATAAAACATTCCTGTCTATAGTTTATATCTGGTGTGTAGGGCATGGTTACTTGTGTGATGTTATGGTTGGTTGATATGCATGTCTAGTTAGGTTGCTTGCTGCAACTGCTGAATTGTCCTGAAGTACCGACCAGTCTTGAGTAGATGTTAACTGGACATCAGCAAACATTTGACATTCAGAATAAACCCAGCTCATTATGTTTTTGTAGATATTGAATGGTTTACTGTTTTTCTTCATCCTAATTGACATTTAGAGCATGTGTTAGCTATACCGACAGGAAAGAATTGATGATAGTGGATCGGGGAGTGTTTAAGGTGAGGTTGGGGGGTTACTTTAGTAATAACAATTACATGTAGAACCATGCGTCGGTTTTGATGACTAGGTGTCATTATAGGGACTGTTTATATAATAATAAATTCTTGTTTACGAAACCTCTGGTTGGTTTTTCTGATGGCATAATCATTACTGTTATAGCTACTAAGACAAGAGAGGATAAATCTGTGTTACTGTATACAATTGTACACCCCACACCATCTGCTACCAAGTGTTTCCTTTAGCAAATCACGATAACAATTGTGTCTGTAGTACCATTGTAAAATTGTTAGTGTCTAGTTAATCAGTGTTGTGAGAAATTGTTTTATTTTACGCTGAATACAGCTAACAATACAATACTAAATCTTACTTCCATGAAATAAAAAAATTCACTTACTATCCATTTATAATGTCTGGACTGATATCTTTTAACATATAAGTGTGTTACATCCCCTCAACACTGTACCCTCAATCCCAGTACATAACTAACACTACCTACAGACAGAACATCCCCTCTACACCCTCCCCTCCATTCCAGTACATAACTAACACTACCTACAGACAGAACATCCCCTCTACACCCTCCACTCCATCCCAGTACATAACTAACACTACCTACAGACAGAACATCCCCTCTACACCCTCCCTTCCACAACAATACATAGCTTACACTACCTACAGACAGAACATCCCCTCTACACCCTCCCCTCCATCCCAGTACATAACTAACACCACCTACAGACAGAACATCCCCTCTACACCCTCCCCTCCATCCCAGTACATAACTAACACCACCTACATACAGAACATCCCCTCTACACCCTCCCCTCCATCCCAGTACATAACTAACACTACCTACAGACAGAACATCCCCTCTACACCCTCCCTTCCACACCAATACATAACTAACACCACCTACAGACAGAACATCCCCTCTACACCCTCCCCTCCATCCCAGTACATAACTAACACTACCTACAGACAGAACATCCCCTCTACACCCTCCCTTCCACACCAATACATAACTAACACTACCTACAGACAGAACATCCCCTCTACACCCTCCCCTCCATCCCAGTACATAGCTTACACTACCTACAGACAGAACATCCCCTCTACACCCTCCCCTCCATCCCAGTACATAGCTTACATTACCTACAGACAGAACATCCCCTCTACACCCTCCCCTCCATCCCAGTACATAGCTTACACTACCTACAGACAGAACATCTCCTCTACACCCTCCCCTCCATCCCAGTACATAGCTTACACTACCTACAGACAGAACATCTCCTCTACACCCTCCCCTCCATCCCAGTACATAACTTACACTACCTACAGACAGAACATCCCCTCTACACCCTCCCCTCCATCCCAGTACATAACTAACACTACCTACAGACAGAACATCCCCTCTACACCCTCCCTTCCACACCAATACATAACTAACACCACCTACAGACAGAACATCCCCTCTACACCCTCCCCTCCATCCCAGTACACAACTTACACTACCTACAGACAGAACATCCCCTCTACACCCTCCCCTCCATCCCAGTACATAACTAACACTACCTACAGACAGAACATCCCCTCTACACCCTCCCCTCCATCCCAGTACATAACTTACACTACCTACAGACAGAACATCCCCTCTACACCCTCCCCTCCATCCCAGTACATAACTTACACTACCTACAGACAGAACATCCCCTCTACACCCTCCCCTCCATCCCAGTACATAACTTACACTACCTACAGACAGAACATCCCCTCTACACCCTCCCCTCCATCCCAGTACATAACTAACACTACCTACAGACAGAACATCCCCTCTACACCCTCCCCTCCATCCCAGTACATAACTTACACTACCTACAGACAGAACATCCCCTCTACACCCTCCCCTCCATCCCAGTACATAACTTACACTACCTACAGACAGAACATCCCCTCTACACCCTCCCCTCCATCCCAGTACATAACTTACACTACCTACAGACAGAACATCTCCTCTTCACTGTCCCAATCATACCCATTTCATCTTCAGTTGATAACCCCAGCTCTCTCCCAACAGCTCTTTGTGCTATCACAATTTTAGATAAAACAGTGCCACTATTCCTCTTTCCCCTCTATTTCTACACCCCCCCCCCCACACTACCCCCTCTTACATCTCTAAAACTCACCTCTCACCTCACCCCCCCCCCCCCCCCCTCACACTTACTAGTCAGAACATTATTCCACCCTTACAGTGTTCACTTCTGCTTGCCATCAACCTTAATTATTTCAACTTTCCTGGTCATATCAGTTTATCAAAATTTTCCCACTATAGAAATATCTGTTAGAAATGTATAAAATATATCAGAATTTCAAACTGACATTATGCCTGTACTTCAAAGGTGTTACCATTATACACAGCAGTGGTGTAAATTAAACTTCAGTAAACCTTTTCCGTGTTATAGACGACGTAATCTCCAAATTTACCAGAAACAATCACTAAATTTCATGAAGCAGTTACTGTGAAATCATAAATTTTCGATGAGCTTCATCTTTGTGGTTTTTTCGAAAGATTATTTTTTCATTGACACATGCAATGATTTTGTGAGTAAACATAATTCAAGAAATCTACTTATACTTATTTTAAAAGTTTGTGGATATTTAGATTCATGGATTAAGGACGACCCATGAGATCCATGAAGATAGATCTACCCCCAAAATTAATGATTTTAGGGTAACTTTTGAATTGAGAAAATTTCAAATTCATAGAATGTCTGTACACCCCCTACATAGTAAGAAGTTTGTCTGGCTGCTGTACAAAGCTTGTGTACATCATGGAACTTCTGAACAGATTTCATTCATACTCAAAGTATGTATCATACATACACTCATACACTATATAATATCTTTGATGTCATTGGTCAGCATTGAAAGGGTCAAAGGTGTCAGCAATCATCAATGAAGTAAAGAGATCTGTGATTTTGGGTATATCTTTGTGTATGTGACCCCGAGTTTTCACATTGTCAGAATACTGAAGTTTGTCAGGGAGACAAGGATTAACCGAGAGAGAAGTCATTGAGAAGGAAATTTGCTTATAACACACCAACCAAAGCTCACTTTGTTTTTATTTAAAACCGTCATATTTTGTTAGAAAATAATGTAATAAAGAAGTGGTGCTGAAAATGGAACAAATTATAGAATATATTGGGGGAGGGAACATATTGTTAATTTCATAAGTTTGTTCGGTGATTACAGATATGTGCATGGATACAGATCAAGTGTGATTCTGTGTTTCTTAAATATGTAGATAGAAAGCAGTGTGTTCCGCCTTCTATATATACAGAAGATAATATCTACTTATTTTACTGTATTTTACGTACTCTCGATTGTCTGCCAACAACAAGGCAGAAGACATAATTTGTTTTGGATTGAAGAAATTAAAAAAAACTTTTTACATTATTCTTGCATATTGTTTGATTTCAATATATCTTAGAATGAGAAAATAATGGGAATGTTGTTTTTTTTTCCTTGAATCATTACTAAAATTATTTTGGAACAAAGCTGTAAGATCTAGATCTTGGTATTGAGATTTTAGAAGTTAATGAGCAAACAGTGTGAAATTAAAAATAGAATTAAACTTTAATTGTCTGCATAAAACAAAGTTTAGAGTTCAGTATGTTATACTGCTTATGCTGGTATTTCTGTATATCAAAGGTCTGCCATACGAAGTGACAGTCTGGACCAGTGACAAATCCAATGCTGGAACGGATGCCAGTGTCTTCATCCAGATGTACGGCGACAGCGGAAAAACGGAGAAGGAAATCCTCAACAATCGCTCGGACAATTTTGAACGTGGAAAGAAGGACATGTTCAAGGTCATACAATCATTTATGTCCTGTCATTGTTAACTTTATCAATTTTGAACTAATCTAAGTTTATCAATTTAAATTCAAGAACTGGATGTTAACAATTTTAATGATTATTTCAAAGAAAATAAAGTATGGAGATACACATTATGAATTATGTTCAGTCTGATGCTATGAAATAATAAAACCTTTTTTGTCAAAAAAAAACAAAAAAACAAAAAAAAAACCACACGAATCCCATAATTCAACAACAGTTTTTTGATATCACAGATTGAAGCAGCAGATGTTGGGCGGATTCAGAAAGTTAGGATCGGTCATGACAGCACCGGGATGTTTTCTGGATGGCACCTGGAGAAGGTAGGAACTCTCCTGTTCCACTTCCTGTGACCATTCTTCAGGATCAGTTAATGGAATATTTATATCCTAAATAAAGATTTTTAATGGCTAAAAAGTGAAATGTTAAACACAAGTATTGGTTTATGAAAAAAACACCAACTGAAAATTGGAGTCTTGGTATTAAATCATTATTTTTACATACTGTGTATCTAGTTAATATTGTGTATCATCATGTTTCAGGTGCTGATTCAGAGACATCCGAGGAAAGGAACAAGAAAGACTCCGAAACGTAAACGGACTCCATCAGCAAATGAGCGTCGAAAATCGCTCGTATCTGATCTACAGGAACGAGAGGAGGATTCCGATGGTAGCAACTCATCAACATCTCCAACACCTCGAAGGCGAAGAAGTTTCAAGAAACACAAAGAACCGGAGTTAAAAACAGTTGAAGAAGAGAGTGAGGAGGATGTGTATGATGGCACGGAGACAGAGGATTACTGGTTCTTTGTCAATGAGTGGTTCGCACGTGGTGAAGGTGACGGAGCTATCCAAAGGGAGTTTACTCCTACCGACAAGGATGGCAAGCCACTTAAGGGGGCTCTTCAAGGTAATTCTCAGTCCACAGGTAGACTTTAGATATTGCCAGATCCAAATCCTAAAAAAATAAGACTTGTCAAATGCAGATATTTGAAATGAATTGCTATGTGACATAACAGGGGAATTTTTTTACAAAAAAAAAATATATTTGATATTTTCAAAAAATATTTTTCAAAACTTAAAATATAAGAACCTCTCTAAGTTATAGATATGTTTGGTCTTGTAGAACGATGTGATGGTAAGTTTAGATATTGTATACATTTCATCACATGGTACATCTCTATGTCACATCACACGTTAGTTTGGTTTGTGGTATGTCACAGTCAATAAGATAGGAATTAATCACAAGATTACACAAATACTGACACCTTTATGCTGTGGTTTTATAAAAAATATTCCAATATCAGCATTCTTTGTTATACAAATATTTGTCAGCACTGCTGTTTTATATTATAGATTTTAAAGTAAATGTTTTTCTGTTACAAAAATCACCACAGAAGTCTATATATGGTATGAATTTAAATTTCAAAAGTCAATGACGTCATGAACTAAATATCTATATTACAGAATGTTTTCTCCGTGTCAATGATGGGAGTAGAATAGAAGATCTTATAACACAACCAGTGGAATATTAGAGTGTGACGTTTCAATGACTACATGGTCACCTTCATCAGACAAATGATCAGCGAGAAGCATATTAGCACGGACTGATGAAGGTGACCACATCACACTCAAATCTTCTACTGGTTGTGTTTATAAGAACTTTAAATCTACAAACATTTTTATTATGGTATTTGCTTGATACAAACATTATTTCATTCATACATATCACTTTTATATAAGAACAATCACATTTCAATTGAATTCAGAAACAAGTATTTCAACTTGTATAAATCTGTCTCCTTGATATACAACTAACATCTTAAACCTGACATTCTGTAAACAGGAGCTAGGTATGTTAGAAGTTTGAACTGTGAAATCATTATAACATCATTTGAAAGTCATTATTACCAGTGTATAGGATTATGTCTTTTAGTATTACATGTGGAAATAAATCAATATAGCAAGGTTGTAGACATTGTACAACACTAATATCCCGTGATGAAATTTCAATCTGTAAAAGTTGGTGGTGATTGTGTGTTTCAGATGTTGAGTATGAAATCCATGTTTTTACTGGAAATGTACGAGGTGCAGGCACAGACTCCAACGTTTTTGTCAACTTGTATGGGGAAAACTTTGACTCCGGTGAAAGGCAGCTTAAGGATTCAAACAACTTTAACAAGTTTGAAAATGGACAGGTAGGTTCAAGACCTTGGGTGTCATTTGATATTCAGCCCTGTTGTCATTCACCAGACTGTAATGTGCCATGTATCTCTTGATCAATATTCTTTCCTCTAAAAGATGGTTATAAATTAACTTCAGAGTTAATTGATCAGCTTTTATTACATTTTTGATAACCGGTATTTAAAATCAATTTGTATAATTTGTCATTTATATATATATATTGCTACATTTAAAAAAAAATAGACAATGTTGATGGTGTCATTTTAGTAAGTGTATATCAAATTGATGTTTTTTCTTCTTTTTTTTTTATCTAACAGGAAGATATTTTCAAGCTTAAGATCAAGGAATTGGGACGTTTGGTGAAATTACGTATTCGCCATGACAACAAAGGAATTGGTGCTGCTTGGTACCTAGATAGAGTGGAAGTCGTGGATACGAAGAAAAGGCACACGTAAGATTTAGCGGGATTTATTTTTACCAGAAAATGATCTATACAGATTGAATGATTTCATGAATGTTAATTTTAATAGTACAATGGATTGATAATGTGTAATGAATGTAATGAAAGTCAGTGTGAGCTCTTCTGTGTTGAAGGTACTACTTCCTGTGTCAGCGTTGGTTAGCAACAGGAGAAGACGACGGTCAGATCTGTAGAGAACTTGTTCCCGTTGATAAATCATTGCTTAGTAAATCAGGAAAGGATTCCGCGAGGGCTGAGGTTGCCTTGGAAACCAAAGGTAAAGTCATTAGATTTTGTAGTTGACATATTTTTATTGATGTTGTGGGTATACTCTAAATCCACAAATTCATGTGTCTGTGAACTGTTAAAATTAGTAAAAGGAGACTTACAGGGCTATACTCATCCATGAAATCAAATGTGGACAAAGGAGTATTATTGTGAAAAATTATGAAAATTAAGCCCCACAAAAACATAGGATATTACAGTATATCCTTCACAAGAAAATCCTCATTTTTTTGGAAGCATCTGTCCATGTATTGTTTCAATCTGACTATCAAAACAGAAATATATACAAAACAATATTTAATGTATATTTTCTTTTAAAAGCTGCCATGACAACATACTACGTGAATGTGAAGACAGGAACCGTATGGGGTGCAGGAACAGATGCCAATGTGTACATTTTATTGTTCGGTGATAAGGACAACACAGGTAAAGGGAGATAACTCAAGCCTTCAAACATGAAATAGAGTTCTGATTTGTCTACTTGCATAGATTCATGAATATCAGTTTCTAGATCTGACTGCGTTCTGGATAACATTAAACAACAAAGCTGTTACAAGACTTAATCAATTGTTTATGAAGAAAATTATCAGTGAGGAAAAATAAGTAACAAAAATACTTATAGAATAGGAACAGAAGAAAAATTTGGTAATTAATAGCAAAACGATAAATTTGTTTGTAAAAACTCTCTAGGTATCTGATGGGGGTTGATCTTTTTCAGACACTATATTCCTGAAATCCTCAATGACAAACAAGAACAAGTTTGAGAGTGGACAAACAGACAAGTTCCTGGTTGAGGCTGTCAACATCGGCGAACTCAAGAAGATCAAGTAAGAGATTTTACTGTTTTAAATTTTTTAAAATTAAAATTAAATCAAACATTTATCATAATCAGTGTATGTTGTCAAGTTTTAGGTACGATATCTAGGTGAAAATTTGTATGAATTTCTTTTTTTTCTTCTTTTTTTTTATTAAATTTGTACAGATCAAATGTGCTTTTTTTTATTAAATTTGTACAGATCAAATGTGCTTTTTTTTTTTTTAAATTGCTCTTTTTTTTCTAGAATTGGCCATGATGATGCAGGAGGGGGTGCACCCTGGTTCCTAGATGAGGTGGTAATAGACAGCCCATCGTTAGGTAAATGTTGGGTGTTCCCCTGTTATAAGTGGCTCAGCTCTAAGGATGGGGACTGTCAGCTGGAGAGGGAACTCTGGCCACAGGAGCTCAACACACAGGAATACACACCATGTACGTATACACTGTTTATGTCAGCAGGATAAAATCGGTAAAAAAATCCATTGAAAATGTCAACATTTTAGTACGATATACCTGTAACTGCTATAGCAAAAATAGCACAATGATATCATATGATTTTGGTTGCTGAGTTGTGGATTTCATCATTGTACAGGTATTCCGTACGAGATTAAAGTATTCACATCAGACAAGTCGGGGGCGGGCACAAGTGCTGATGTCTACATCCAGCTGTACGGCAAGGAGCTGTGTTCCTCTCAAAAGCAAATGTGTCCCACAAAACGAGAACGAAGCGACAAATTCAAGCGTGGTGCTTCAGATTTATTCCTGCTAGAGGTAGGCTTAGACATTGCAGCATATTTCAGATATGGATACATGTAAATTCATTCTGAAATTTATCTGACTCTTTAGAAGATGTAAACTAGATCAAACATCAGAAGTATGAGTTAATGATACTGAGGTATTGTTAGAAATCAAATAAAATAGGTTCGTATGCGGGAGCAGTCACGATACTGTAAATGTACTCAGTTTAGAACCATCAACCTTTAGGGCATTGTCACTTTTTGTCAAATTAGCACCATGATGAATTTGCACACCAGTATAATAACATATTTTAGTGTAATACTTTAAGAGCAATAAACCCTACAATAACACTATCTCTGAAATACTGTATATATGTTCACAGTATCCTTATCAGAATCTGACAGAGATAAAACACAAAAAACAAATTTTTAAATATACATATATGAAGTGTTATAATTGGGTTTCATTATAGAAACTTACAATAACACCACGAAAATAAACATATGTATTGTTTGTATAATCTGTGCATTTTCAGTGCAAAATATTTATAACTGTGTATTAATTATTTTCCGGTGATACAAAATCCATTCCTCTTGCTAATAAATACTTATTTTTACCTCGGGCTTTCCTACAGATTATTCTACTGTTTGTGGTAGGCTGGTGGTCAGTATATATACATATGTATACTTTGTACTTGTTTGCCCTCATTGTGGAGAAAGAAACAAGCTAACCTGTTGTGATAAAAGTCGTAATTAGCATATATCTTAAGTTGATGTCCACTTATTGATCAATATCATCTGATTTGTGGCAATAGATGGAGGATGTTGGCGAAACGATAGAAAAGATCAGAATCGGCCACAATAACTCTGGTTTGACGGCTGGCTGGCATCTCAGTCGTGTTGAGATTCGTAAACTCCACGACACTGGACGGGTAAGTCTTTTAATTAACACCCCTCTGACCTGGGATCCTTGCTGCCTTACTTGGTTTAGAAAAAATTACTTTTTTAATAAACACTTCTGTTCCTTATATTGAAAATTAAACCTGCTATGTTACATAGGATAAAATTTCACATGAAGTGTAAAATAATTGGGACTATGCTAGAAAGTTAACTTTAAAAAAAAGCTAAATTTATTTTGCAGAAAAAATTTCTTCTAAATCTGAAAATATTTTGAAACTTTCATTTTTGATACCATGCAACAAGAAAACAGAAAAAGTTTTTTTTTTTTTTTTTTTTTAACAAATTAACAAAGTTTTGCAAATATTTCACAGAATGCCACAACAAACATAAGTTTTAATATAACTGACAGATATCTGGAATGTAATGAGATTGTTGGAGTATTGCACTGAAGATATGTTGATCAGCAAATGATATTGACACATAACATGGTTTTTGTTTTTATAAAGAACGAGAGATGATTAAAAAAGATTTCTGTTATATGAGTTTGATTTAAAAAAAATATTGTTATATGGAGTTGTAAAGGTCAAGATAACATTGATTAAACCTGTCTGTTCTATATTTACTTCAACAGGGATCACAGGTATGTTATTTGTTGCCATGGTAACCAGGTGTTTGCTAGTTTGTGTTGAGTAGAAACCCTGCATGTGTTATCCTGTTTATTGTTCTGATCTTTGATAACCTGAAGTTGAATTTGTCTCCAAACATCCCTAAGTCAGGAATTCCTACTGTTGTATTTTACCAAAGATGTCAAGTTTTCTTTCATTTATAGGGGCATAGGATTCACAGTAATACCTTGATATATTTTCTTCAGTGCTCATAAAGAGCTTCTACTGTGACTATAAATAACAAAAAAAAAATCATTCAATGGCTGGTTTATAATAAGTGACAAAAAATAAAGCAACAAAACATTTTATTTGATCTGCACTTTTTAAAAGTTACCTTAAAATTTGATCATTAAAGAATAAGGATTTTTGCATTTTTAAAACATTAATTCTATTTTCAAATTACCTCCCTTTGCTGGATGTTTAAAAACAGTTTGCAGCACTTTTGTCAGAAAGAACTTTTAAAAAATGATTTTAGATGATTCTTTTTTTTTGAAGCTTTGTGTCCTAGTGTATTCACAGTTAATGTTTAGGATACTTACAAAGAGCTTGATTTGAGTTTAAGCTTAAGGAATAAGCACAACTTTGGACATAGTTAATTTAACATGTACATTATACATAATATCACTGTATTTCTGAGAGTGATATTGATTTAGACCTAAAGTAATGGTTTCATTTACAACAATAACGCTTAATTTGCAGTGCAGATTTTTACCTGAAGTGTAAAATACGTTCTTGCTACAGAATATGTGTGTAATTGTTGACTGTCAAAAGTAGATTTTACAATTTTATCATTAACTGCTCGATAACAGATTTACAATCATTGTCCTGGCAGTGGTTCATTTTAGGGCCACTTATAAAGAGTTAAAGAAAAATATTTCTGAATTAGAATTGATGATTGTGAATGAGGGTACATATTTTTTTTTCTATTTTTTTCCCATTTTATCAAAAACATTATGTTATGCCTGCATGAGCATGCTAGAAATAGAAAGGAGATGAGAATGACTTGGTGATATGATAATACCAGGAACTAATCTGTTACAGACATATACTACCAGTACAGAATACAAATCATTTGCATGCTGATAGTATTCTTATTTGTAATTAATGAAAGTACTTTGTCTGCAGTGATTCACTTGAAGGGAATTACTTAATTGTTTTATATTCTGTTTTAATTGATCTATAAAATCAAAACCAAACAAATATCAGCATGAAGGTACAGACAAAAAAGGAATTGGTCACTGTTGTAACAGCAAACTTTGTCATTAGAAATTTGGCTAAAAGCAGGAAAGCAGTCCCCGAGTGTAACATTATTTATAATTCAATGGTTAACTTATGGAGATCTCTTTTAACATTTGATGTCTGAGTGACGATATTAAACAGTTCATTATCTTGGTTTCGAAGTACTATATAGTAATGAACAGTGATTAAGTGTGTGAAGAGTGAATATCCACCTTCCTTTCAGCCCTAGTGATGGCATCGGCATTTCAACTACTGATTATCTATTTTTTGACCTTGACCTTTTGTAGGGGTCTATCACATATGTGTTTCCATGTGATCGATGGTTGGCGCGAGACGAGGATGATACAGCGATAGAACGAGAACTGATTGCAGGGAAAGTCCATCAAGAACTCATAGGGCGAGATGGACAGGTCAAGAAAAAGGACATTAAACTCCGTGATCAACTTCAAAGTAGGTTATGAAACTAGGTCAAAGTCTGAATTTTAAACATTTTTTTCAATTCAGAAATATTTTTGATTTTATAACCCTAGTAAACATTTTTGATCCATTATTACATTTTTGTAAATGAGATATTTCAATCAGACAACGTTTGATAAAAAATTGAGAAAAAACAATGATTATATCTCACTCCAAAAATCCATGGACTACAGACTTGTTTATCAGAATTTCCTAGGTTTATGTTTATGTAAGGAACCCAAAACATGATAAATTGTAAATTTATTGAGGTGACTTATGAACACATCATCAGATATGACACTAATAAATTTGTTTGTGTTTTCAGACAAGCAGTATGTGGTAAACGTCCACACAGGAGATGTGAGCGGGGCAGGCACAGACGCCAACGTGTTCCTCACTATCTGGGGTGACCGAGGCGACAGTGGGGAAAGGAAACTACACAAGTCTGAGACATACAGTGACAAATTTGAACGCAATCATGTGAGTGAACAATGTGACATTACCAACTAAACAGAAACTTGTAATATCATTATCCAATGTTTGCTTCCACTGTAGTACCTATTTCCAGCAAATGTGTCTTGAGAGACCATCCACCATCGATCCTTACCAATGTAATAAGGTTTGTGTGGAGTAACAACTCCTGTTACAGTAGATTTTAACTATACTTGATAACAAGTTGTCAACTCTGTTCTAAATTTTTTTTTTGACAGATTGATGTCTTCAAGATGGATATCGTTGATTTAGGAAACATCTACAAAATCAAGATACGACATGACAATTCCATGTTTAACCCCGCCTGGTACCTTGATTATGTGGAAGTAATTGACCAATCACAAAACAATCAGAAGTTCATGTTCCACTGCGAGAGGTGGCTTGCCAAAAACAAAGACGATAAAAAAATACAAAGAACTTTCTATGTCAAGGTAGGTAACTCTCCTCCATCTAGAGATTTTAACATCAACGAAACATACTTAAAAAATACAAAAAATGAAGCAAAATATTTTTGATATTTTATGCCTAGAATAAACTCATAGCATCTAGGTATATATTATAGTTTATTGATCTGTGAGTCTTGTGTCCAGTTTTAAGTCTCCGCCATTTTGGTAAAAGGCATAATCTATTCTATAATATTGAAATAGGGTTTGATAATGGTATATATGTTTGGTGTTATTAGGGTTATGATGGTGATATGGAGTCCAGTACTGGGACATTGGGTACAATGAAGTCTACACGCTATGGTTCTGTCGCCAGTCTGGATTCTCTCAAGAGTATGGACCCATTTTCCAAGTCTCCACGTCTCTCACGTAAACAACAACTGGCACAGGAGGAAATGCCTGACGGTGATAGTAAGTTCAGGCAAAAGGTTTAGCCAGGAAAGATATTTGGGGTGAATTGTTTTTGCATCTGAAAATTTTCATACAGGGAGTGTTTTTCCGAAATGATAGTCATATATATTTGTATCACTTATAAGGTTTGTTAATGAATGGTTTAGCTTTCACAGAATTTGGGGACCACCTACACACACAAATACCACCTCTCTCTCTCTCTCACACACACGCACGCATGCACGCACGCACGCACACACACGCACACACACAAACACACACATCAATACAAATCTGAAAAGGTGAAACATGAGTTCAAGAAAATGGTTGCTTTTATCTTTAAATATTTATATTTGTAATTCCACACACAATTTTCTAACACATTTATCCTACATTTAAATATATTTATACGAAAAAGAATGTATTTTTCTCACTTGCAGGATTTAAATATAGAAAAAATAATTGCAAACAAGTTAAGCAAAATGTACATTACCTATGATGTCAACATTATCTTTATTGTTGTTAAGCATCTGAAGATTTAGAAATGAAAGTGCTTATCCTTAACTCTTGTATTTACAATCAGTTGTTTAAGATGATCACTTGTGACCCATCAACAGTAGAAAAGATTGTTGTACTTTGATTTGTTATTATATGTTTGTGTAGAGGAATTCATCACATATGATAATTATTCACTAGATCTCTGTAATGTGACATTGATATTCGTATTGTGGTTATGTATTAGAATAAATGAGATTTTTTTTATTGTTACAGCAATTCCCTACACAATCAAGGTATCGACTGGAAAGGGGAAGGATGACGGGACGAGCAGCAATGTGTGGGTGAGAGTTATTGGTCCGCGGGGGAAGGACACTGGACGACTCTTCCTAGAACTCGCTCAGAAGGATAAGTTTATGCCTGGCTCTGTAGAAACCTTCTCGTTAGAGGCGATAGACGTGGGGGACGTCAAGAAACTTGAGGTAAGGAACTTATTTACCACATAAATAAATATCTCTGATATTTTGTAAAATCATATGTTTTTGTGGTGCTCATTTTTAATGGTTTTTTAAAAAATTAAAATGAAATTTAAATTTGTGGATCAACATAATACAATAAATGTACTTAAACCTATCTTAACAGTTGATGAACATATGATGTCATGGTTTAAGTGTACCAACAAAATCAATAAGAATGAAAATTGAATCAATTTAAAACGGTGATGAATTGACAGGTTGGCCATGACGGGGAAGCTCCAGGGACGGGCTGGTTTGTACGTGAGGTCAGCGTTGATGTACCAACAAAGGGGAGGCACTATCTGTTCCAGTGTAAACAGTGGCTTGCTCGTGACAAGTTTGATGGAAAGACCATCAGGATCTTTAGTCTCGACGATGGTGTTAGTACTGTCACATCATACAGACCAAGTAAGTGTGTTACACTGTACAATATTAGCTTTTCACTACACTGATAACTCCATTCAATTTGGTTGTTGTCTACCCTTTTTTTTATTATTCTGACCTCTGACCTTTTGCTTCATTTTGACCTCTAACCTGACCTTAGTGTGATTCGGACCTCTGCTCTTGTGTTTTAGTGGTACAATATGAGTGTGAGGTAACAACAGGTGACATCACAGAGGCCGGTACAGATACCCAGATCACACTTACAGTGTTTGGTGCCAAGGGCACAACAGCACCCATCATCCTTGAGAAGATTGGAGACAGATTTGAACGAGGTCACAGTGACCTCATTAAGGTAATTTACTGGAATCACATTTATTCACAATTCATTGCAACAACTTACTTTAAGAACTGTCAAAACTATTAGAATTTGCTGTCTAAAGAATGGCTCAGGTAGTAGCTATATGTAAAATTATGTTGATTGAACTTAAAAATTTATAGAAAACTAATCATTTTGTGTTAATCATTCACAGGTGGAGATGGAAGATGTCGCCCCTATAAAGAAAATCAGAATACAGACCACCGGCAAAGGCAGCAGACCAGATTGGTACCTCGAGAAGGTGAGAGGTCGTCAAGGTCAAATTGATAACGTCAACATTGTCTGATGTCTCTGAAAATAGAGATGTTATCATGTGTGGTACAAATATTCAGAACTCACTGAAAACTAATTCTTTACAATGCTGTTGCTGCCATTTTAAATTTATACCATCATAAGGTCAGACTCATAGTTAATATTTTCAGACGAAGAGGACAACTTATCGCAGTGAAGAGATGTACAGACTATTAAATAATTACATGGATATCTATGTCTCTATGCTTAACAATAAATGACAAAATTCTCTCAAAATTGAATTACTTGGTTAAGAATTGGCATACTCAAAATATACAGCCAAAAATCTACGTGGGAGAAGTTTGATGTATGATATGATGGAGTCGAATTCATTTTTTACCCTAATATATTCTTGTGTCTCTTACATTGTATGTTAATTTTGTTTTGGATTTTAGCTGACCCTTCGCAGTTACGAGACTGATGCCCTGTCCGTGTTTGAAGTCAATGATTGGTTTGGGAAGAAGAAGGGCGTACTTATGCGTGACATTGCTGCGAAGGAGAGGGGCAAATTTGTCATCAAAGGTTAGTCATGCATCACTAGAAGTTTTGAGTGTGTTGATGCGACTCCAGTCAAGCCTGACAGGTTCTCAGCAAGAGTATTTAAAAACAGCCTTATATATACATGTGGTCTTTATAGACAGGTGGTCTTATAGTCAGGTGGTCTTTACAGACAGGTGGTCTTATAGACAGGTGGTCTTTATAGAAAGGTGGTCTCATTGACAGATGGTCTTTATAGACAGGTGGTCTTATTGACAGATGGTCTTATAAACAGATGGTCTATATAGACAGGTGGTCTTATAGACAGGTGGTCTTTATAGAAAGGTGGTTTTAGAGACAGGTTGTTGTAATACATGATAATATGTATTGTATAATAGACAAATTATCTGTATCTTATTTTTTTTTCTTTTAATGAAAGTTCTGGTTTTACATTAATAAATTGTCTCAATGGCCTCAATATCCTTATGTCACGCATTGGTTATGGAGAAATAAGTTACCTGGGGTATCTTTAAGAGTATGGTAAGGTGATATCAAAAGTGGTCTTTGTAGAGAGGTAGACTTTATATAGAGGCTGTCACTGTAAAGAGGTGGTGTATATAGGCAGGAAATTATGAACAGTTTTTTTTTTGACAGGTTACAACATATCATGATTGTGTTGACATTTACCTGTTTTTCATGTCCTCATTACAGAGACCTCCTACAAGATATCCGTGAAGACGTCCGATGTTAGTGGTGCCGGAACAGATGCCAAGGTGTTTGTAACTTTGTTTGGAGCCAATGGTGATACCGGTGAAATCCACCTAGCTAAATCAGAAACATACAAAGATCCGTTTGAGAATAACCAGATTGATGTGTTTACTATACAGAAGATTCTCAGTGTTGGGGAACTGTCTAAGTGTCGTGTCTGGCACGATAATTCAGGTAACGCCTACTTCCTAATTAACATGTAATGTGGTAATCTCAAATTTTTCTAAGGTTGTGTTAAAAATTCAAGAAAATGGATTGATAATTTTTTTTCCAGGAAGATTTTTAAAAGAAGTTATCATGTAAAAAGGTTACAAAATCTATTCCTATGAAAATGAATTATGATTTACATGAGTTTTGAATTGAATTACGCACACTATAGACAAATAGAGGTTTAAGCTGATACCAATACTTCAAATTTTGGCTTGGAAAATATATGTAGTAGCTAGTAGTCTATCAAGCTGTTTAGATATCAACTATAGAAAAAGTTCTCAGAAAAGTTACGTTTCTTTTTTAATGGTGCAAATTTTTCTTGTTTTCACAGCTTCAAAAACATTTCTCATAGAAGTAATAGTGCTCTGTTTTTCTGTATATCATTCATGGTTCAACATTTACTCCTTACACTGTCAGTCAGTACTTTGATATTTGTACTGTTGGTATTCAGGGTTTGGTGCAGCTTGGCATCTGTCCTACATTGAGGTGGAAGACCTTAGCAATAAGAAGGTGTATACATTTCACTGTGACAACTGGCTTTCCAAAAAGGACGGCGACAAACAGATATTACGGGAGCTGACGTGTGGAACTATTGCCAAACCTTCAACTGGCGACAAGGAATCCGCCAGTACGTTGACTCTGTTGCACATTAAACTTCAAAATTACACCATGGCCTGATATGTTATATTTGAAAACTCGCCTCGGAGCATTATAAGCTACATATTCTGAGTGAACTCTGACAGCAAAGTCTCGAGGCGATCCAAATGCGTTCACCTTTTGTCCTGCATTGTGCATCTGTAAACTTTTTCGCATTTTCAACTTTCTCACTGATGGAATCAAAAGCTCTTCATGGATTGAAGGGTGTTTAGGTGTTTTACCACAGTTGTGAATTTTATGAACCCACAGTTTCACATTTCCCCCTGAATTTGATAGTAGGCATACATTGACCCTGGCTTACCCCCAATGACTTAAAATACATCACTTATATCTTTTTCTTCAATGTCACAATTTCTCTTTGTGTCACTTGAAAGCTACTTATCCTATAATCTTTATATACATTCATTGTTACTTCAGGTGACAATCAAGGCCATGATGCCTCTTGTTTCTCAAAAACAATTGTGATATTTGCAAAAAAAAAACAATACATTTATACGTTTGTGTGATATCTTTCTCAATTTGTAATCGTTTAAATATATCTCATTCCACCTGATGTTACAGCTTATGAACTTGAGGTGAAAACATCTGATAAAAAAGAGGCAGGAACCATTCACCATGGCTGGGTCATACTCGAAGGCAGCAAAGAAAGTGTCAGATATAAACTTGAAAACAGCGCTCGCAACAAAATACTCCGCAGGTATAATCTAAAGCTAAATTGAAAGAAAAATGGTCTGAGTTTAAAACACGCTTGACATCAAAATATTTCAGAAGATAGAAAAAAAAAATAAAAGATCTTTTTCATTTTTTTTCAGGGGTAACACCGACTATTTCCAAGTTCCGTCCCGACCACTTGGCAAACTAAAACGTGTGATTGTAGGAGCAACGGAGCGTGAAGACCACCCGCTACAGGACATGGAAGGTCATGAAGCCATGTGGTTTTGTTACGAAATTAACGTCACAGACACCACGACTGGTAACAAGTAAGTTTACAAGTAAACGGAGGCTGTCATTATATAGGGTTTGTCTACATCTGTCTGTAACATGGTCGCAGAAATCTGTCCTATTGAGAGCAATAAAAGACTTACAGCTTTAAGGATCAAGATAGATAGGTCTCCTGGATTATCTGGAAAAACAGACATTCCAATGTGGGAAAGTTGCCCTGATTTTCAGAGCTTCCTCTGTGAAAAATCATCTCAGTTGACCAGGAAATTTAATACAGTCAAACTTAGTTATTGAAGTATCGACAAAATATTAAAGATTTTTTATACTTAATCCAGTGTTAGAGTAAATCGCAATCATTAGAGAAAAGAGAGAATTGGTTTTGATCAGAGAAACAGGGTCTTCAATGTATCAGAGTTCCAGATAACAAAAGGCTGACTCAACATTGGTGTTCTGTCAGAAATATCCTGAACGATTAAAACCAACTATCAGAGTTCTAGATAAGAAAGATTATACATAGTTGTTCCGTTGTGGAACACTGCTATTGTAAACTGAAAATAGAGATTTATGGATGCCACTATTAAAAATCTATCTTCTTTTTCCATAGATACCTGTTTCCCTGCAAGAAATGGATCCAGATTTCTGACCGCCTTTACTCCAAGAAATACAGAGAAGTTTTGGAGGCTAAATCTGTGGAACAATCGCAGGTTTCTGTTGTAAGAAGTAAGCATGACAGAGAGGATAGAAAGAGCCCTTGTATCAGTCTGCATCCATCTGTTCTAAAGTTGAAAGATTTGAAATAGTTATATATCTGACAAAGTAACTTTAAAGTTGTCATTGTGCCATATCTAGCTAAGTAACTTAACACGCAACAGGCTGATACAGGCCCCATGTGCCCTTGTTCAGTATCATTTGTAGGATTTTATCAGTAAGACTGTTACATGACAATTGTGCCTTTTTTAACTTCATGAACAAGATATTTATCAGATAATCTTCAGGAATATGGTTGCCTCATTTGACTTCATATCTTTTCCATTTTAATTGGAACTTATTTAGACTTATTAAAAGTGATGGTAAACATCAGTTTACATTCCATACAGATCAATTTTACAAACTACGCTATACATTTCTAACTTGTAATTACTTACCAGCTCTCCCCTACAACATTCAAAACATGCTTATATGGTCACTTTGTCAAAAAGTCAGTACCTGTACGATATCATTGGTTGTCAATTTCCATTTTGGATAGACACTGCATAAAAATGATCAATTTCATTTCAGATTTGGCCCCGATCAAGTATGAGATTGTCGTGTTCACCGGAGATGTTTTCGGAGCTGGAACCAACGCCAATGTCTCTATCACCATATTTGGCTCAAATGGTGACAGTGGTAAACGTGCACTTCAGCAGAGTTTCCGGGATCTATTTGAACGTAACCAAGTTGACAAATTCCAGATGGAAATACTAGATTTAGGTAAAGTATTACAGTACAGTAGCTTTGTTGATTTCCTGAAAAAGTGTATTGTCCAGGCTCCTATGCTAATGGTTGAAAATATTACCCACTTCTTAAAATATATATTCATGAAATTTGTAACGGATCTTCATTGATATGTTAAACATTTTGTTTTTTCAGGGGAGTTACATAAAGTGAGAATTGAACATGACAACAGTGGTTTCCGTCCTGCATGGTTCCTTGATAGAATTGAGATCACCAACTTGGCAACCAACAACACTAGTGTTTTCCCATGTAGTAACTGGCTGGACAAAAACAAGGGAGATAAGTTGACCTGTCGCGATCTCCTGGCCCGGGAATAAGACTGATGACACCATTTCACTAGGATTTTAAAATTTGAATTAAAGGACTTTTTTAAACATGATTTAGTGCTAATATTTAAAATATCTTATGTCTATATTATTGTGTCCAAGCTCGGTAAAGCAAACACCAAAGACGTTTTCACCTTGCAGGAAATCAATTTGTTTTATCAAAAAACTTTTTGACACGATCTAGGTAATTTTAATTTAGTTATTATACCATGAATACATGTATTGATGAATATTTATAAATTTTGTATTTATTAAGCATTGTGATAGGTTGATTATTCAACACAAACATTCCTGTAAGCTAATCAAAATGATACTTGAAAGGCCTTGGTTGTTCAAAGCATGTTAAGCTGAAAGCATTGTCAACTTAATGAATCAGATTGTCATATTTTCAAATCAATATCAATGATTTTCTTAAAAAATATACATATATCATGTTTTATGCGTTCAGTTATGAGGATAAATATTCAAATATATTTGAATTATTGATGAATTTCAATATATATGTGAATATTAATTTAACAATAATTTTTTGTTCTAATCTATCAACTTTTGGTTTGAACAACTTGGCTATGGAGGGTCAGGAATCTTAGTGGTTTGTAAACCTAAATAGATGGAATATATATTAAGTAGTGATGTATTTTTATATAACTGACTTTATATATGTGCTAACAATCTTACCTCATATTACAACCACAACACATACATATATGTACGTTATATCATTTTCGTTTGTTATGATTTTTTTACATGCTTGTGATAGTAAATTTAATGAAATCCAAAATAGCTGCCACCAAGGGCTATATGAATTTTCTAATGTAAAATTTCGATTTCGATAAGCATTTCTGTGATTGTATTTCAATATGAACTTACATAATTAGTAAGTAAACTTATTTATATGCTCCCCTATCTATATATCTTACAGTTTTTATAATTACGTATGTCTTTTTTATTATGTTTTGAAATCAAAACAACAACAAAGTTTTAATCCATTTTCAAAAATTCCTTTAAGAGGATCGTGTAAATATATGTAATTTAGCTTTAGGAATAGCTTGCTTGTGTCAATCATTTTCAGCTTTTATTAAAAGTCTCATTTTCGGAATTACTGATTATCCAAGGGCTGTGAAATTCTGCTTCCGTCCAAAAATATGATGCTTGATATGAGGTTGTACTAGATATAACTTGAGCCAGGTAACGAACCAGACATGCCTCAGGGAGATAACTTGCCTTATATACTGTATTACAATCTGCCTACAATTGTGATTATCTCCCCTTGCAGCCTTAGCAGTGACCTTACACCAGACCCATATTGACGCCTGTCTCATTATCATCGTTTCCTCACAATCTTTTTATATTCCGTCCTTTGGTATAATCTTTGTACAGTTAAATACTTTTTCTTAATCGTTTCCTATCTACATATCTGTATTTTATCAAATTTTGTTGTAAAAAAATTGAGGACTTTAACATAGTGGAAATCTAGTTGGTTTAAATAATATTCTGAAAATACATTTATTTTTTATGAGTAAGTCTGACTATAGATGATATGTGAGCTTGTGTTTTCATTTTTCTGTTCTACAATCAACAAACCAGTATGTAACCCAGAGATATCAATATTGTATGATTCCCTCAATGCATTTATACATGAATTAACTATATGTTAATTCAACAGAGAAATGCTCAATTTACAAATTCCTCACATCTCTAACTTTCTACTGTCACTCATGTGATACGTCAACATTTTACTAGTTGTATGTCCATGTAAAACTATGTCTTTATTATGAACTGGGGATTTCGGTTTTCAAAAGTCTCTAACATTAAAGACATTTTCATCGAACTCACAATATTGGGTATTTGGTTAAAATTTTTTATATGTAAATGAAATGTACATTCCTGTGTATTTATTTTTTTTTTCAATACATATTTGTCTCAAATGATATTGAAATATCATTTATGTGTTATTTTTCTATAAACTATAGATACATACAGATATACATCAATATGTATATTGATACGAAAAATCATGGTCATTGTAATGTTTACACTTACTAGTCCAATATATTGGCATCCGACTTACGTTTAAGCAATAATTCACTAGATACATTGTCGTTAACATTATTTTACTTATATTTTGTGACTTATAATCTGTGATGGCTTTAAATTCTAAAGGAACATCACATACTTATACTGCCTTTCATTTGCATGTACCAGCTGACCCGTATATTGCAATCCCTCCCCTTCCAATATTCTCCCGCTCTCAACCTGTACACATTTCAAATTTTGTCTAAGATTATTTCATTTTCACATTCTTACATTGTAAATATTTTAATTCTATGAAATTCTGATATTTCTCTTACAAAGATTATCTATTGTATTGCACATATGTCTTTGACAGACATACCACACATGTTTCTGTCGAATCAGTGCATAAATCCAACTATTGCTGTCATTGTTTCTGTACATAACAGGATCTAGTTAATTTTAACTTTGTCTATCCTATGGTATCAGTGTGAAACATTTAAAAAGTTTTCATCCTTTAAATTAATATTTGTTTAAATGAAATGAAATTTTCACATCTATAGTTCAAAGGTCAAAGTAATTTTCTGAATCACAGAATTGGTTTCCACAAAATTGCATAAGCTGAAGAGCTTTTTTTGAAACCAGGAGGTCAAAGTTTAAAAGTCATCATTTCAATGTAAATTAAAAACATGTTTCAATGTTATATTTGTATTTGATAAAATAAGTTCTTTTGATAACTTTTTTCTGACCTCTGACCTCTGACCTCTAACACTGTGCTACCTGACAGAAAGTGCTGGATTATGATTGCTTTTGCCAGGAAGAGATCCCACTTATCTGACCATACGGGCAAACTTGTATGATCGACTTGTGCCAACAGCCTTGAAACGAGATGCTAAAATATGTTTGAAATTTGGTGTTATAACTTTGAGCCAGAAATATAATGATTTGAACGATACTGAACACATAATGGTAGTGCTGGGTTCAGTATTACTGTTGTAGTTAAGCTTTACAGTCAGTGCCATGTATGTTTCTGTATTATAACAGTGTAAAATATTTCGTTAACATTGTCTTTACTTAGTAAAATATATTAAAGTTAATATCACCTACAAAACCATTTATAAACATCTTTAGTTTTCTCATTAACAAATAATAGCATGTTTTTAATAGAGCATATTTAGATATATAGTACTAGTACACTTGTAACTAATTACTATCAATTGACGAGGCATTGTGCTGTTCAGATTCTAAATCATTGATAGTTCATTCCAAGACTTTGTTTAATATTCTGATACATTTGGACAAGCATTGCCAAATTAGAGATCTTTGCTGTAATCGACTATAATGATAATTGTACGGTATCTAGGTATTTAAATTGTAAACACTGTTAATGTCTCTGTATATTAGCCAAGTCATGATGTAACTTGTAGTGTAACAAAGTCAGCCATTATACGATGATGTCATTCTGTAAATTGACCTGTAGGTTGGTGTAGTAATGGGTTGTACATACATTTACGCATTATTTTTAGACTGTCTTGTGGAATGTTTATTGCAGTGTTATGTTAATTGATTTGTAAACATGTCTCTGACGTCATGTTTAAATCTGCTGATTAATAAAACCAGTCTAGTTAGAATACTCAACATCCTGTTTTGTCCTTTCTTTGTTCAGACCTCTGTGTGTGTGTGTCTCGGGGGTATATGCTTTGTCTTTGGTTGTGCCCATTGAGAAAATACTACATATGTTATAGAATCAATGCAAAAACATGCATGATTTAATTTCCAAACTTAATACTATATTTCTTATGGCTGTGTTCTGACAATCACAAAGTGGCCCCGATCTTATTGCTGTGTTCTGACAATCACTAGGTGACCCCGATCTTATTGCTGTGTGTCGTTCTGACAATCACTAAGTGACCCCGATCTTATTGCTGTGTTCTGACAATCATTAAATGACCCCGATCTTATTGCTGTGTTCTGACAATCACTAAGTGACCCCGATCTTATTGCTGTGTTCTGACAATCACTAAGTGACTCCGATCTTATTGCTGTGTTCTGACAATCACTAAGTGACCCCGATCTAATTGCTGTGTTCTGACAATCACTAAGTGACCCCGATCTTATTGCTGTGTGTCGTTCTGACAATCACTAAGTGACCCCGATCTTATTGCTGTGTTCTTACAATCACTAAGTGACCCCGATCCTATTGCTGTGTTCTGACAATCACTAAGTGACTCCGATCCTATTGCTGTGTACTGACAAACACTAAATGACCCCGATCTTATTGCTGTGTTCTGACAATCACTAAGTGACCCCGATCTTATTGCTGTGTTCTGACAATCACTAAGTGACCCCGATCTTATTGCTGTGTTCTGACAATCACTAAGTGACCCCGATCTTATTGCTGTGTGTCGTTCTGACAATCACTAAGTGACCCCGATCTTATTGCTGTGTTCTGACAATCACTAAGTGACCCCGATCTTATTGCTGTGTTCTGACAATCACTAAGTGACCCCGATCTTATTGCTGTGTTCTGACAATCACTAAGTGACCCCGATCTTATTGCTGTACTGACAATTACGTGACAATCACTAGGTGACCCCGATCTTATTGCTGTGTTCTGACAATCAATAAGTGACCCCGATCTTATTGCTGTGTTCTGACAATCACTAAGTGACCCCGATCTTATTGCTGTGTTCTGACATTCACTAAGTGACCCTGATCTTATTGCTGTGTTCTGACAATCACTAAGTGACCCCGATCTTATTGCTGTGTTCTGACAATCACTAAGTGACCCCGATCTTATTGCTGTTTTCTGACAATCAATAAATGACCCCGCTCTTATTGCTCTGTGTCGTTCTGACAATCCTTAAGTGACCCCGATCTTATTGCTGTGTTTTGACAATCACTAAGTGACCCCGATCTTATTGCTGTGTGTCGTTCTGACAATCACTAAGTGACCCCGATCTTATTGCTGTGTGTCG